TTCGCAGCTCTTATAAATTCCCTTTTCACACCATCAATAGGTAAACTCCCCCTCCCCCCCCCCCCCGCGCCAAACGGCAAGTCCACCGGCACGTACACCACCTCTTTCCTAAAATCCGCCAATCAAATGCTAATTTTTATGCTAATTTTTTTTGTCAGAACACCTTTTTGCTCGCACACAGTTTAAAGGTCCGCTGTCTGAGCGTGGTTGTGTTTCGCTAAATTCTCCTGTTTGATGAGTACTAGGTGCCTCGGTGAATGTATATGCTCTAACTTTAACATAGCTATTTCTATGACCAGTTACAAGCTAATCACTCAGCTATTTCAATGCTAAATTCTATGCTAATTCCTTTGTCAAAGGATACCTCTGCGGATGTGTATACTTTAACTTAGCTATTTCAATGAGCCATTTCAATGCTAAATTATATGCTAATTCCTTTGTCAAGGCGCTTGGTGTTTTTCTTCTCACAGCTTAAAGGTCGTGATCTAAGCGTGGCTTCTTCCACTCCAGCGCTGTCCTCCAGACAGTCTCGTCCCTTCACCTGATGAAGGCCGCTTGTGTTGTGGCCGAAACGTCGTGATTTTTTGTTGTTTCATTTTCACCTACGTGACTTTACCCAATAGAACCAAAGAGTATGGATCCTAGCAGTCACGAAAGCTTTAAATCTAGATTCAATATTAACAGTGTAGAGAATAGACTGGCAGTGCACTGAGGTCAATGAATAAGCAGGCAACAGGCCACATTACAGACTGCCAGTACACTGGCGTTGCTTCAGAAAAACACAAATACTTTAATATGTAGCAACTTAAATTTGAAATATTAGTTGTCTATATTACTATTGTAAGATTTGTAAACTTATTTTTATAATAAGTTTTCTATGTACGCGAGTTTAGCGAACGAAGAAATAAATTAGTACTTAACATTGCCGTGTTGTGGCCTAGTCCCGTGCAGAGCCCGCGGCCTCGCCTAGATTGCCCAGCCAGCCAAGGTGGCACCTTGCAGACTGGGGGCTGGGCCGCTACCCCTGCCCGCGCGACAATAATATTATCTAAGCGCTATAATAGTAGTATCTACTTGTGTTCGGTAACTTCAGTTATTTACCTTTCTGTTTCGGTCTCGGTCGAAAGTGAAGTTAAACTTTCGGTTTCGGCCAAAAGTAAATTTTTTATTTTCGGTCTGGTTTCGGTTTTGGCCGAAACCAGAAATTCAGTTTCGGTTGGCCTCTAGGTGGAACCTGCCATCACTGCAGCAGTGCATACTGACTGTGGTGGTACCTGCTATGACTACAGCAGTGCATACCGGCTGTGGTGGTACTTGCTATACCGACTGTGGATGTACCTCCTATGATTACAGCAGTGCATACTGACTGTGGCGGTACCTGCTATGATTACAGCAGTGCATACTGACTGTGGTGGTACCTGCTATGATTACAGCAGTGCATACTGACTGTGGTGGGTACCTGCTATGATTACAGCAGTGCATACTCACTGTGGTGATACCTGCTATGATTACAGCAGTGCATACTGACTGTGGTGGTACCTGCTATGATTACAGCAGTGCATACTGTGGTGGTATCTGCTTACACTACAGCAGTGCATACTGACTGTGGTGGTACCTACTATGATTATAGCAGTGCATACTGACTTTGGTTGTACCTGCTTCGACAACAGTAGTGCATACTGACTGTGGTGATACCTGCTATGATTACAGCAGTGCATACTGTGGTGGTACCTGCTTTGACTACAGCAGAGCATTCTGACTGTGGTACCAAATTACTAACCTGACAGAGTGCCGTTGTTAGGCCTAGTCCCATGCAGAGCCCCCGGCCTCACCTAGATTGCTCAGCTGCCCGAGGTGACACCTTGGCAGGCTGGGGGCTGGGCCGCTACCCCCGCCCCCACCACCATCCCCCCACCCGCTCTACAATAATCGTATGTAAATGCTACAATATTAATATCTACCAACCCTATAGTACTAAATGCACACATTGGGGCGAGGGGGAGGGAGAAGAGGACATGACACTTTGAAGAATTAACCTCAGGGTTGTGTATTTTTTTTGCATTTTTAACGAGAAGGAAAAATTCCCACCCCCCCCCCACCGATGACACGTGCGCATTGCTAGTGGCAACCCCCAGGCAGTTTTAGCGCTCAGTTTTAGCACTAAATTGCTCATTTAACTACTTTAAAGTTATGGATGGGAAAATGGAATAGCGCTGGCTCACCACGGGGCTCATGGCGTGGTGCCTGATTACTTTTTTAAAACGTAAACCCCACGGTTTGTGAGACAAATCCTTGGCAGGTTTCGTCCACACACAGACAGATGGACAGACAAAAAATGCCTTTTATAGGTTAGATCGGGGTGTCCAAACTACGGCCCGCGGGCCAACTGCAGCCCATCATCCATTTTTAATTGGCCCGTATCAAAGTCAAAAAATATAATGGGCTATGTCCCACTGTATTGCACTTCTTAGTTTAAAAACTAGGTGGCGCTATTGTCTTGAACAAGGCAGCGTCTCCACAAAGCAAGCAATCGAAGAAAACATTTGCTCAGGGTAACCAGAAATGCCGGAACCGAAGAGACGCAAGATTGCAAGCGAGTGCAGAAAATTTCAGACTCGGTGGAAAAATTAATATTTTTTTTCATATAAACCAAGGGGAAGTGTGTTTGTTTGATTTGTAATGAAAGTGTTGCCGTGATGAAAGAGTACAATGTACGACAGTATTATGAAACGAAACATCAGACCTTCACGTCCTAAACTGGCGCCGAGCGGAAAGAGAAGGTAAAGCAAATGGCAGCTAGCCTGGTAACGCAGCAGCAGGTTTTTTTCCGTGCTAACAAAGCTCACGAAAATGCAACAATAGCCAGTTATGAAGTAGCTCAACTCATTGCCCTACACGGGAAACCTTTCTCAGACGGTGACTTCATCAAACAGTGCCTCACTAAAGTCGTGGGAATAATGTGCCCAGAGAAAATGCAGGATTTCAACGATGTTAGTATGTCCAGAAATACGGTTGTGCGGCGAATTGAAGACTTGTCGGCTAACTTAAAACAGCAAGTGTCAGATAAAGCTTGTGCTTTCGATTTTTACTCGGTTGCATGTGATGAGAGCACAGATGCCACGGACACTGCACAGCTGTTAATTTTTTTGCGGGGAGTTGATGATAATTTTTGCATTACGGAGGAACTGCTCGATCTTCGGAGTCTAAAGGGGACAACAATTGGGAAGGACATGTTTGAAGCTGTGTCAGATGCAATTGACCAGGCTGGACTTAAATGGGACAAGCTGTGTGGAATTACAACGGATGGGGCTCCAGCAATGACAGGCGGGCGCAAAGGAATTGCTTCTATGGTGAGTGCCAAGGTGCGGGAGAGCGGAGTTCAGGGTGTCAAAATGCACTGTATCATCCACCAAGAAGCCCTCTGTGCCAAGATAATCCAGCTTGGCGATGTGATGAACACAGTTGTGAAAACTGTCAACATAATTCGGGCACGAGGGCTTTACCACAGAGAATTTTAAGCGTTCCTCTCTGATGTCAATGCTGAATACGGGGACCTACTCTACCATTCTGAAGTGCGCTGGCTCAGTCGCGGCTCCATGCTGCAGCGGTTTTATTCCTCGAGATCAAATATCGACAAGTTTTTGAAAGAAAAGGGCTGACCTCTCCATGAGATCAGTGACCCTTTATGGTTGGCAGACCTGGCTTTTTTAGTTGATCTCACTGATCATCTCAACACCTTGAACAAGAGACTACAAGACAAAGAGCAGCTGGCACCACAGCTGAATGCGCACATGAAAGCATTCCGTGCGAACCTCCGTCTCTTCGAGTCACAACTGCGCAATTTCAATGTAGCGCACTTCCCCACGCTGATTGAAATCAAATGCGCATTTCCAAATGCCAAGCTCTCTGCAAAAAATTGGGAGAATATGTGTCTGTGATCACATCTCTCATGACAGAATTCAGTCAGCGCTTCCAAGATTTTTCTGTTATTGAGAAGGAAATCACACTGTTTGCGGCTCCGTTTTAAATGAATGCAAAATAAGTGGAGGAGTGTTTGCAATTAGAACTGATCGAAATTCAGTGTGATGATTCTCTGAAGAATCAGCATCAGCTTCTCTCCCTACCTGACTTCTACCGGAGCTTGGAAAAGACCAAGTTTCCTCTATTGAGACGCCACGCAAAACGAATGATGAGTCTGTTCGGCTCAACATACATCTGTGAGCAGACATTCTCTCTGTTAACGCTGAACAAAAGCAGACTGAGAACCAGAACGACCGACAGCCATCTTCGTGACGTCCTTCGCATCTCAACCACCAAACTTACACTCCTGACCTGCCAGCTATCCTTCAGACCAAAGCGCAGCATCACTGCTCCCACGGAGCGCAACATTCTTCCCATTACAGGTGAGTTAAAAATACACAGTTTTCATTTGTTAATAAGCCCAATTACTTAATAAATTCAGTAAATTAAAGTTGATGACAATTTTTTAACAAACGTTTGTTGATGTATATATATATTCTTGGTCCTTTCGGCAAAGTCACGTAGAAGGGAAACAATAAAATAACAAGCCCAATAATTTATTTGTGTAATAAGCTTGAAATATCCACGTCCCCTACTTCTCTTCTTGTCTCTCCCTTCATACAGGACAATGAAGGGGGATAAGCACCCTAAGATCCAATCTGAGGCTGTCACTGAGAGAATGACCTGCCAACCTTTTTGTAAAAAATAAAATGAAAATCTACTAATGGAGAGCTATGATGGAGGCTTTTTTTCTTCAAACATGTTCAATTATAAAAGGTAATTTACCTGCATTTGATTGATTTTGCCAATATTAGTGCATGAGAAGTGAGGCAGTATAATTCACGTCTAGTGAGTGGCCCAGTCCTTCATATATTTTTCTGTATGTGGCCCTCGGGAAAAAAAGTTTGGACACCCCTGGGTTAGATGGACCGGAAGTCTGCTAGGGGCGAGCTTAGCAGTAGCAGGAGATTAGAGGTCACCTGCGGAACAGCTGCCGTGCGATCTCGTCGCCGCAGAAGAAGCAGACGACAGCGAGGAGGGCGGTGCTCGTATGGCACAGCGCGGATTCCCGCGCGGTCGCCCGGCACGTCAACTCCACCTCCTGCACCGCCGCGCACAGATCATCGTTCATGTTCTCCCATTACGCACAACCCCATTCAGCCCTTTGTTAACCCACCGATGGGCGGGGGTCTTCCCACGCTACGTCGGTCTTGGGGGTTGTTGGAGCATACTTCACCGTGTTGGCCACTGTGGGTCAGTGAAGGGAGTGCCTAGAAGCGGTACAGACATCACTCGTCTGATGTTAGCCGTGGCCAGGAATCAAACTCGTGATTAAAAGTTTCATAGTGTAGAAGACCAACCACTGCATCACCCAATCACTGCCCTCATAATATCACTTAATGTCCCAAAATGCAAATCTAGCTACACATCAGACCAGGAATTGAACTCGGGTATCCAGGTTCATAGTGAAGTGTGCTAACCACTGTGACATTTTTACAATCCACAGGTTTATCTGACAGTGCAGTCTCTTAACTGTACGGGCTTAATGTAACTTCAGATAGGGCATTCAACTGTGACAACAGCACAGCGGATTCATCTTTGAGTGTTTAGTTGTTCACATGCTACTCAACATTTTCCGTTGGAAAACAAATCATGTCAACGGTATTGAACTGTCTCAATGTTTACCAGGGACCACATTGTGAAGTGCGGTCTCCAATTACAAGTCAATCAAATTACCTCCACTCTCTCCACGGTGAAGCAAGGGTCGCCGGCTATAACTCACATTGTCACGAATGCAAAACATTTATTTGTATAATAAACATTCATATTCAAGCAGTGCACAAATTTAAATTCACGTTAATTTAATTATAATTTTAAGTATAATCTCTAATTTACCTGTGCAGTGCTGAAACGTAGAATTATTATGTTTAAGTGGTAGTGTCAAATACTAAAAGAGATATAACCAAATGGATGGAAAAAATATATATCCTGTGCTAGGCTGTCTGGGCGTCTCGCTTTGTCACCGGGCAACGTTCATCACAACGGTAGTTTGTACGGCAGTGCCGTGAGGTTAAGTGCTTGCTGGACAAGGCCGTGAGCAACAATGGCACTTACACTGATGGTAGAAATAACAACAACACCACGCAAAGTTGTTACTCATTCCCTCCTCTGGAGACATAATTTCAAAGCTCTTGTCACATCCAATGTGTGGAGAGGCGGTACACCAAAATGTGGACTTTATTTGTCCCAACAAGTTGAAATAATTATTATAAAAGTTGCAGAGATGAGAAGATAATTGGTAAATTTGGCATTTGAATGGGGAACTGAACTGAGTGTGCAGACTCTCTTAGGAGGTCCTGCTGCCTTGGCATGTTTGGCTAATACCACTGACATTGCATGTTTGCAGCAAAGAGAGGATACTTGAGAATGCAGAGGAAATCCATACAGAACAGGGGGAGAACACACTGTTTGCAGAACCCAGATCCTACTCTTGGCGAGGCATAAGCATTACCACTACTCCACCATTATCGCTCAATGAATAATCATCATTACGATCCATGGGCAGATAGCCCGTAGGTGTCCCCACTGCCCATTTCCTCATTTTCTCTGTCTTGTGCCAATATGCTTTATAATAGTGCACATGTTTCTGGCACTAATCTCTTATGTTGTCTTTCCGGTTAGAATTTTCCTGTTCTTGTCCATTCTACATATACGCCCAAATAATGCCAATTTCCTTCTCATCACTGCCTGCATCATCAGGTTGTCTTCTATGCGCAACCTTTTTTCTTACTTCTACGTTGGTCACTCTTTGGAGGGTTGGTCCCGTTTAGAGGCGGTATCCTTCTGTAGCGATACATTTAGAAAGCGCAATATCTTGACGAATGCAGCTCAATGAACGCAGCAATGGGTATTCCGAGCGTGGCGGCGCCAAGGGGTTCTCGGACGGAAGCCTAACCTGCTCAGCTCTCTCCTTGAGGACGAAGTGTGCCGGCGAGATGGTGAACACGGAGCTGTCGGCGACCTCGCGCGCCTGCATGTCGCCAAAGCAGACGGCACGTACGAAGGCGGCGCGTGTCCCCGCGTTGCGCAGGCGCACGCGCGTTCTGCTCACGCGCCCATCCGCCACGTCTCTCAGCACTGCCGCGTAGCTGTCGGACATCCTCTGGGTGCCCTCCAGCAACACGTGGCTGCAGCCGCCGTAGCCTGACAGAGGGATCTGTGACAGTGTGCGTGTGCGGCGTAGAGATGCGTAAAAGAGAGCTTTGTTGTGGGAGTAAATTTGTTATGGGAGGAGTGGCAAATTGGTGTCTAGGTGTGTATTTGGTATCCGAACATGTGTACCTGTGTATCAAAGACAGAAATCATGCAGTGGTGGAGGGGGGCTAAGTGGTTAGTGCACTGCGCTATGAACCCAGCCAGCGGAGCTTGAATCCCAGCCACCGAAAAAGTGGTAAATATTTAAACTGGTTTTGAGCCTCACCAAGGTTGACTGCTGTAAAGTTTGAAATTCGAAACTCGACATAGGCTACTGTTAAGACTGCTGTGGGGACCAATTGACATTATCGTTGGCACTGCCACAGAGACTCCATGACAACAGTAATTTAACTTCCTTACACAACGATTCCACCCCTCGCATCAACAATTCTATGAACCGTTATGATTTCGGCTGGAGAATCAATTCATGAAATAATTATTCTGCACCCTCGCAGAATCAATCGTGGCTGCAGAGCGGTGGTGGGAGAGGGGGTGTGTGCCGCGCTCACCGAGAACTTGACGCCGGGCACGGTTGAGCGTGTGCCGCTCTGCTTGATCTCCAGCTTGGCGAGCATGCAGGTGCGGCGCGTCGGGACAAATAGAAGGCGCACCGGCACGTCCTCACGCGGGCCCAGCAACAGCTCGCGTGCACTGCTCAGCCTCTCCTCCCGGCCAAACGTGCTCTGCAGCTGCACACGCGCACAGGGGTGTTTGTATGTATACTGAACTTCTTTCGCACCATAAGTAGCCAAGCGTGCTAATCGGAGGTGCGGGGGTATGACAATTCAACACAAAAAGCAGTTCTAAAGAAATGAGGTTGAAATCTAGATTTAAAAGTTCATAGCTCCAGCGGCTTCCGCATATGAGACAAGTGCTCCAGACGGCCGCAGAAGCACATCTGAAAGAATGCGATGCGGCGACCATCTTTGTTCGATGGCTAGCCAAAAGCCTCTGTGAGGCTGATCGGAGTTCACGTGATGATTTATGCTCCTTGTCGAGATCAGCAAGGTATTGTGGTTCATTTATGGCAAACATTTTGTTTGTAATGAGTGCGACCTTATAATGTGTTTGTTGGGCAACCAGAAGCCAATGCAGATCAGCGATCACTGGACAGACACGGCAGGATCCTGCAGCATCCATCACGACACGTGCCAAAAAATGTTGTACACGCTGCAGCTTGGTAATATTTTTGCCAGATGTCCTGTAGAGTAGTAAGTTGCAATCTTTGAGCCTTGTTGGTATACTACGCTACACAACACCCACGCCAACACTCACACTGGAGGCAAGTGGCATTAGCGCACAGCTTAAGGTCAGAAGAGTCTCTCTAGCATGACAGTGTGCCCAGTACCGCTTACTATGCGTTCTCAGCTCCCTTTGCTTCCTCAGTGCTAATGGATGACTGGGAAAAAGGATTTTTTGACTTTAGGAGAAGCAAATAAGGATGACTGTCCTCCCACTAAGCAAAGATCAGTAGAACACCTTTGTTGCTGAAGTGGGGGGAGTGTGTTGGAGAGTAAACCTACAACATTTACATTTCGAGGATGACATTTCGCTGGTAATTACAACCAGCCTCATCAGGCGGCAGCCGGAGTTGTGGAGAAATCCTCCTTCTGTCTAAGTCTTAAATAGAGGGGGTAAATGTGATATCGTCATGTTGAGCCATTCAGGTGCGAAGACCAGATGGGGGTTAATGTAGTCAAATAAATTACAACGGATATCTATTATTAGTTGCGTTATTCAGTAAATCAACATATAAGATGTTATGCTTGGCTCACAGTGACGACATCACAGTTACTCCCTCTGATGAGGCTGGTTGTAATTATTGACGAAAAAAGTCGTACTTGAATTGTAAATGTTGTGGGTTTACTCTCCAACACCGGTGTGCTGAACGAGTAACTAATTGGCATGTTTTGTTAACGTAACAAACCTTACTAATTGGCTGTGTCGGGTGGTGGCATGTTTAACGACACATTTATATTTACACGATCTAACCCAAAAAAAACTATTATGGATAATATTGGTCACGAAGCCTATGTGTTAAACGAAAGTGGGGAGTGTGTTGAGGGGAGTAGAGTGAGATGATATGAGAGAGATAGGCAGGGGTGAGTCAATGGGTGATTTTGAAGATGGCGAGTGCAGTCTTCAGATTTATCTGAGACTGGATTTGGAGCCAGTGAAGCGATCCAAGTGTTGAGGTTACGTGGTTACATTTCCAGTTGTGGCTAAAGAGTCTGGCAATTTAGATGATTCGGTTGTTTGTATCAGATGTGGGATTTGAGGAGGACCTATAAGTGGGTTACGATAGACGAGTTGAGCCATGATTAAATAATGGACGATGATCTCAGCGGCAACTGGGGTAGCGCCCATGTTGACCGTGCAATCACACCAGTGGCCAGTTGAAAAAGAACACTGCAAATAAAATTTCCATTAATTTATTCTGATCGACATGACAAACAAAGGTGAAATCAATCTTTACAAGATTTGATAATAGGTTTTTCCCCTTTTATCTGGCAACATAACAGGTGTTAAGATATTTATATTCTTGGTTCTTTCGGTAATGTCACGTATTATTTTATTGTTTCCCTTCAATGTGACTTTACCAAAAGAACCAAGAATATGAATCCCTGCAGTCACGAAAGCTTTAAATCAAAATTTAGGTGTTAAGATGTTAAAACACCAAACTGAAACCTTTTACCAGGAATCATGTCTACATTGACCACAATGTTTGTGGTCAGAATGCAAACAAAAAAAAAACACTGATACTCTTTGGTTCTATTCGGTAAAGTCACGTAGGTAAAAAAATTAAAACAACAAAAATCACGACGTTTCGGCCACAACAAAAGCGGCCTTCATCAGGTGAAGGGACCAGACTGCCTCAAGGACAGCGCTGGAGTGAACACAGCCAAGCTCAGACCGCGACCTTTAAGCTGTGTGAGAGGAATTAAGGTGCCTTGACAAAGGAATTAGCATTAAAATTTGCATTTAATTGGCAGACTTAGCATGATGAACGGTGAACATGTGCAGGTCGGCGAGGGGGGGGAGGGGGAGTTTACATATTGATGGTGTGAAAAGGGAATTTTAAGAGCTGCGAAAGTTTGGGGTACCACTACTTGAAAAAATATACTGTACCATTGAAAATTAGTTTAATGTTTGGTTCGATTTAGAACATCTTTCCAATGGTTGCTTAATTTGAAACTATCTTCTCGGTTGAAATTGTGTCTGTGTTTGTAAATCTGAATTGCCTCGTGAACAAATCTCTGATAAAAACCCATGGGTTTGCAAAGAACCTTGGTATCGGAGAAAATTATATCGTGATCACCCACAGCGTTGTAACAGAGATCAGCTACGGCAGAAGAATTCGTTCTGCCGTGTTTTCAAATCTGATTTGTGCTCGCGAATTCGGTCAGAGACATGTCGCTTCGTCTCCCCGATATAGCAATCACCGCAGGTACAACTCAATTTGTAAACCCCGGGGTACTGTAAGTTAGGAATGACATCCTTCACGGATGGGATCAGATCACGAATTTTGTGTACTGTATTGAACCGGACCTGGATCTTGTGTTTGTTTAGAATTTTGGAAATCTTTTTAGTAACGCCTGCTATATATGGTAGTGTGATGGTTTTAACCGGAGTATCAAGTGGTTGTTTCTGTATGGAGGGAGAAACAGCTTGGCGGATGGTACGGTCAGAGTATCCATTCCTTTTGAGGGCCAGGTGTACGTGTTTTAATTCACTGGTCAGGTAGTGTTGGTCCGAAATGCAATGAGCCCTATAATATAAAGTTTTGATGAGATAATTATTTTGAGCTGGGTGGTGGTGGGAATCAGGTTTCAAGTAGGAATCTGTGTGGGTGGGTTTCCTGTAGACAGAATGCCCCAATGAGCCATCAGATCTCCTCTCCAACAGACCATCTAAGAATGGTAGCTTGCCATCTTTCTCCACTTCCATGGTGAATTTGATGGCGGGATGTCTGGAATTGATGTGGTGTAGGAAAAGGTTCAGGAGCTGGGAGGCCATGTGGCCAAATGACGAAAGTGTCATCCACATATCTCTTCCACAAGATCCAGGTCCGGTTCAAAATTCGTGATCTGATCCCATCCGTGAAGGATGTCATTCCTGACTTACAGTACCCCGGGGTTTACAAATTGAGTTGTACCTGCGGTGATTGCCATATCGGGGAGACGAAGCGACATGTCTCTGACCGAATTCGCGAGCACAAATCAGATTTGAAACACGGCAGAACGAATTCTTCTGCCGTAGCTGATCTCTGTTACAACGCTGTGGGTGATCACGATATAATTTTCTCCGATACCAAGGTTCTTTGCAAACCCACGGGTTTTTATCAGAGATTTATTCACGAGGCAATTCAGATTTACAAACAGACACAATTTCAACCGAGAAGATGGTTTCAAATTACGCAACCATTGGAAAGATGTTCTAAATCGAACCAAATATCAAACTAATTTTCAATGGTACAGTATATTTTTTCAAGTAGTGGTACCCCAAACTTTCGTGCTTCCCTTTTCTTCCCTTTCACACCTCCCCCCCTCGCCGACCTGCACATGTTCACCTTTCATCATGCTAAGTCCGCCAATTAAATGCTAATTTTTTATGCTAATTCCTTTGTCAAGGCACCTTCATTCCTCTCACACAGCTTAAAGGTCGCGGTCTGAGCTTGGCTCTGTTCACTCCAGCGCTGTCCTCGAGACAGTCTGGTCCATTCACCTGATGAAGGCAGCTTGTATTGTGGCCGAAACGTCGTGATTTTTGTTGTTGTATTTTTTTACCTACGTGACTTTACCGAATAGAACCAAAGAGTATGGATCCTTGCAGTCACGAAAGCTTCAAATCTAAAACACTGATAATATATGGATTGTCCTTGAAACTGATTGGTCCACACCAGAGACCGCTTTCTTTTGAGCCTTGTCTCTGGTCTAACACCGTTTGAGACGAGGCTCAAAAGAAAGCTGTCTCTGGCGTGGACCAATCAGATTCAAGAACAATGCATAGATTATCAGAGTATGTTTTTTTTTGCATTCTGACCACAAGTACTGTGGTTAATGTAGACATGATTCCTTGTAAAAGGTTTCAGTTTGGTGTTTTAACATCTTAACACCTGTTTTGTGGCCAGATAACAGGGGAAAAACCTATCATCAAATTTTGGTACTGGCAAAGGAGGTCCCATGATTAAAAAATGTATTCAACAGGAGACGGGTGCTCTTTTCACACTGAGTCGCGTAACGAAGGCTCAGGCTTGATGTTGTGCATCATGGCCGGAAATTCAACCTGGGTCACTTTGATTACCATAGAGCACACAAACAAATGGACCACCACTCCCCACAATTCACACACGCAGACACAGACTGTAGAGATTAGGGACATATTAGCTTGCTCCCCCAGATACAGTGAGGGAAAAAAGTATTTGATCCCCTGCTGATTTTGTACATTTGCCTACTGACAAAGAAATGATCAGTCTATAATTTTAATGGTAGGTTTATTTGATCAGTGAGAGACAGAATAACAACAAAACAATCAAGAAAAACGCATGTCAAAAATGTTATAAATTGATTTGCATTTTAATGAGGGAATAAAGTATTTGACCCCTCTGAAAAACATGACTTAGTACTTGGTGGCAAAACCCTTGTTGGCAATCACAGAGGTCAGACGTTTCTTGTAGATGGCCACCAGGTTTGCACACATCTCAGGAGGGATTTTGTCCCACTCCTCTTTGCAGATCTTCTCCAAGTCATTAAGGTTTCGAGGCTGACGTTTGGCAACTCGAACCTTCAGCTCCCTCCACAAATTTTCTATGGGATTAAGGTCTGGAGACTGGCTAGGCCACTCCAGGACCTTAATGTGCTTCTTCTTGAGCCACTCCTTTGTTGTCTTGGCCGTGTGTTTTTGGTCATTGTCATGCTGGAATACCCATCCGCGACCCATTTTCAATCCCCTGGCTGAGGGAAGGAGGTTCTCACCCAAGATTTGACAGTACATGGCCCCGTCCATCGTCCCTTTGATGCAGTGAAGTTGTCCTGTCCCCTTAGCAGAAAAACACCCCCAAAGCATAATGCTTCCACCTCCATATTTGACGGTGGGGATGGTGTTCTTGGGATCATAGGCAGCATTCTTCCTCCTCCAAACACGGCGAGTTGAGTTGATGCCAAAGAGCTCCATTTTGGTCTCATCTGACCACAACACTTTCACCCAGTTGTCCTCTGAATCATTCAGATGTTCATTGGCAAACTTCAGATGGGCATGTATATGTGCTTTCTTGAGCAGGGGGACCTTGCGGGCGCTGCAGGATTTCAGTCCTTCACGGCGTAGTGTGTTACCAATTTTTTCTTGGTGACTATGGTCCCAGATGCCTTGAGATCATTGACAAGATCCTCCCGTGTAGTTCTGGGCTGATTCCTCACCGTTCTCATGATCATTGCAACTCCACGAGGTGAGATCTTGCATGGAGCCCCAGGCCGAGGGAGATTGACAGTTCTTTTGTGCGTCTTCCATTTGCGAATAATCGCACCAACTGTTGTCACCTTCTCACCAAGCTGCTTGGCAATGGTCTTGTAGCCCATTCCAACCTTGTGAAGGTCTACAATCTTGTCCCTGACATCCTTGGAGAGCTCTTTGGTCTTGGCCATGGTGGAGAGTTTGGAATCTGATTGATTGATTGCTTCTGTGGACAGGTGTCTTTTATACAGGTAACAAGCTGAGATTAGGAGCACTCCCTTTAAGAGTGTGCTCCTGATCTCAGCTCGTAACCTGTATAAAATACACCTGGGAGCCACAAATTGTTCTGATTGAGAGGGGGTCAAATACATATTTCCCTCATTAAAATGCAAATCAATTTATAACATTTTTGACATGCGTTTTTCTGGATTTTTTAGTTGTTATTCTGTCTCTCACTGTTCAAATAAACCTACCATTAAAATTATAGGCTGATCATTTCTTTATTAGTGGGCAAACGTACAAAATCAGCAGGGGATCAAATACTTTTTCTCTCACTGTATTTATTTCTGTATGTCGAAATTCTTTCGCACCGTACGTAGCCAACCGTACTAATGCGTTATTACTTGATCAAAAAAAATTATATATTTCTGTAATTGTGGTACATATAGAATAAATTATGGTTCCATGACCAAATCAGGTGCAACAAATCATTAAAATCATTTTTAAACGATGAAGCATTCTGTCTCTCGAGTAGCTATGTTTGTCTTTCTTGTACGTTGCCCTATGTTTTTGTATTGTTTGTTGTAATGTTCTTACCCACCCTTACTCGACATCTGTGAAAAAGAGCTTTATAGCTCATTAGATTCCTCCAGTATAAATATTCTGATCAGCTAAACATTTCCATCCAACAACACTGCCCCCAATGTTCAGTATAATTAATAATCCAACAAAGCGCAGAATTAGCACACATGGGCTCTGAATCTCACAGTAGCCATACGTAGGCACGCACGCACCTGGAAGCAGTCGTGATCCTGCCCACGGATGACCATGCGCAGTGGCAGTGAGGCCGTATCCGAGTTGTTCCGTAGGGTCAGCTTCTGCTGGCTGCAGACACAACAACACGCAAGCACGCACAAAATTGCAAATGCATTATGAACGTGTACACAATATACAAAGATAAAGATCCCCCATATAACCATAACAGACTGTTGGGAAAGTGCTGTTAGCGAGCACCTATGAAGGCCAGAATGGCACACGAGGCGGTAGGTGGTCAGCACCACACCCGTCTGCCTTTGTCTCTCAAGTGACGATGTTTACACACCGCACCAGGTACTCACTTAAGGCTTAGTCGACGTAGAGGTACCCAGGACCGGTTCAGATAATCGTCACTGGTGTTGGCCGTGAACGGGAAGCAAACTTGAGGCGCCAGGTTCGTAGTGCAGCGCGCTAACCGCTACACTACCGCTCCCTACACATAATATACCCACACATACAAGTGTATAAACCCATGTGTGTGTATGCGTGTATATGTGAGGGGAGCGGTGGAACAGTGATTAGTGCTCTGTGCTACGAACTTGGCGCCAGAGTTCGATTCCTGCTCAGGGCCAACACCAGTGATGATTATCTGAACTGGTACTGGGCCTCCCCTAGGTTGACTCATTTAGTACCTGGTGCGATGTGTAAACACTGCCTCCAGGGAGACAAAGGCGGTTGGGCGCGGTGCTGGCAACCCACCCCCTCGTGTGCTGTGCCGGCCTTCATAGGTGCTTGCTAACAGCTAAACTACACTTTTTATGTAACAAGGTAAGGCCCATTTAGCTATATCACTCTTTTTCAGAAGTGACCAAGCCACAAATGATAGTCCAATGAAGTGGGTTATCACGTTAAATTTTATAGCAGCCAAATACTCAATGCATTATTCTAAATGTGGAGCAAAAAAACGGAAGATCCGAAGAAAAATCCACGCGGCTACGGGGAGAGAGATATGCAAACTCCAAATATACAGGTATCAGGGTCGGGATTGAACCCACGACCTGCCGAGGTCGTTAACATCTCGCCACCATGGTGCCAGCACTTGCCCCAAAAGTCTGTTACCGCTATACGGAGGATCTGTCTTTGCAGAGTACATGTGAGATTGAGTACATATGTGTGCGAGCGCACGAGAGTGCACGAATATGCGAGTGCGCGCGATGACTGTGGAGACCCACGTGGCGCGCCCCAGGGAAACGCCGCCCCAGCTGAGGAACTGCTTGTTGGAGAGGAGCGGGGGGATGTTGAGGAGGGGCGATGGGTGCTGCACCTCCCCTTTCAAGCACACCTCGTACTGGGGGCCCATCGGCAGCACCAGGATCTGCAACACGCTGGGGAGAACATCCAGTTGCGGCAACATCAATGGCGTGTTCTGTAAGGCTAAAGGGTCTCCCCCCCCCATTTGACTTTTAACTATCCCAAAAACAGGAATAGGTGACAAAGCCTTTGCTGTTGCACCACCAATGTTTTGGAACAACCTTATTTCCTTCTGTACATCGAAAAATCTTGTTTAAAAAAATATCCTGAAATAGAAGATTAGTGCAAGGTAAAACCACATTTGCAAATTTGATTTGTACCTTTGATCCTGAACCGTGTATCGATAGTTACATTTTAATGTGGCACTTTTGTTGTTATTTCGCTGCCTTGCCCATACTTGTATTTAGTGTTGAAAAATCGGCAGGAATTTCTCTACTTTGCACTCCTATCGTTTTTTGTATTGCTTGTTGTTGTAACTTGCTTCCTCTTCCGTATGGCTGATGTAGATGCAGAGCAACAACTACAATTTAACATTCAGGTGGTCAAGCCAGACAATCGCGTCAGGAGCAGCAGAGTGGATCGCTGTGATGTCTCCTTTGTATTTGTGGATTGGGCATTGCGTCATTATATTAAATTTCCATTTGTGGATCAGGTATCCGCATCTCCCATGGTTTGTGCAGTGGATGTGGTTTAGGGTGAACCATGAGCTTCGTGAAAGATGAAAACTCGGGATCTTCTGCGTTGGGTCGTTCTTTTGAATTCCATTCAGCTCTCTAAGCTTAATGGAGGTTGAACTCGCATTGAAGGTTAAGCGCATGGGTCCAAAAGGGCTCACGTGACTTCAAGCAATGGTGAGGGACGTTACTGATGAATGGGTAGGCAACTGTTTTCCTCGATTCGCAGTACTTCCCAGAAGGTTGCACCGGTGCACCGGATGGGTGGGGAAGAAATGTGGTGACAGCATGGGCAGCCAGGGTTTTGGGATTCGACTTGAGGGTTCCAGTGATACACCACATTGCAGTGTCCATTTGAACATGAACAAGTCGAGTGTGAGGAGGTCCATCGTTGATGTCCGTAGCGCTGGTGCTGATACTCCCCAGCTGAGCTTGCCAGTTTCTGGACCAGGTTGACCCTTGTTCAGGTCTTGGCGATCGTGGAAGGTTAGTGTAGGTCCAGCTTCACTCTGAGATAGGTTGGAGTGGGGTCATGTTGCTCAGTATTGCCGCAGAAATTAATTTTCAGAGTGTGCTTGCCGCTCCTGTTATCAAGATGAAATGCCGTGACAGGGGAGTTGGCTTGATCCTCCATTTCGTAAATACTCCAAAATGGTGTTTAGGTCTTGGTTCAGAGTGGTCACAGCAGCTGCGTCCAGGCCAGAATCCCACTTGTTCTTTAGGCATCACAGACTCGACAAGGGGGCTGATTCTCCAGAGGATAGTGAATAGGTCGTGTACAGGAGTGATATCAGCCTATAGCTTCCCGGGTCATCAGTTGATTTGTCCGGTTTGGGTATTGCAATGACCATCGCTTTTCGCCATACTTTTGGGATGCATCTGGATTTAACGGGTTTGGTGTACAGTTTTGCAGGCCATTGGAGTCCCCGAGGGCCTAAGTGATGGAGGAATTCTGGGGGGGGGGGGGGGGGATACGATCTCTGCCGGCAGCCTTGCCTTTCTTCATTGCAGCCAGATCCTTCCTCACTTCCTCTGTGCTGATGGTGGTGGATGTTGTCAATAAATTGAGCTAAATTTCTAATTCTAGATTTTAAGTTTTTGTGACTGCAATGATCCATACTCTTTGGTTCTTTCGGTAAAGTCACGTAGGTAAAAATTAAAAATAAAGTTAATCAAATCACGACGTTTCGGAGGCAACACAAGCTTTCGTCATCAGGTGTAACTAGCACAGCAAAATTACTGTAGAGAGCTTTTTGTGATAAGAGATTATTATATAGGGTAAGAGGAGGGGGGGAGGAGCCAAGGAGGATGGATGTAGGGTGGGGGGGTGTTGGGAGACGGGGATGGTAAAGCTCCTGCTCCTGAGCAATGGACCTCACGCTTGATGTTTTTGTTGGGTGGTCTTTTTGTGTTCTCCATAAGTTTTGGAGCCTATAGGGTTGAGCAGAACCCTTGCAGTCCAGTATTCTGTTGGATTAGCAGCACCCAGATATCGTAGTAGGGTCTAGGGCACAGCGGCTGGAGTGTGTGAAGCACCGACCTTCCACGCACTCAATCCATTATTGACATCTGGCTGAGTCTAAAGACTCTAGCAAGGCCTTTGCAACCTGTGGGCTGCTCGACTGGTTGTACTACCGGAGCAGGTTCTGGGTCTCTTTTGTCCAGCAGGGAGTATATTCTTCAGGGGATAGTCTCCTTGGCGGCTACAGTAAGGAGGCCAACAAAACAATAACATTCCAGTGTCACAGAAATCCAACTCACCACTCTTTCTACAGCCTCCTTATAGTGGCCTCAGTCAGCTTTGATGACGTTGCACCTTGGTAATCGTTTTGTCAGAATCATCGGGATTTCGATGCCGATGTGGGTGCTGATGGGCCTATGCTTACTTTTGGGGAAGTTTGGGAGTACTTTGCAGGATGTGTGCTCCTACTTTAATCTTTGGAAACAATGGCGGGGTCTGGGTTGTCGTCACATTGCGAGCGAGCAGAGTCGAGAGTTGCTTGCTGCTTGGGATTGAAAACCAGGTGCAGATCTTTGGTGGACATCAAGTCGGTGAGGTCTTTTCCGTCGGCCTGATTTACTCCATAACCCCACATAGTATGGTGGCTGTTAAAGTCAACAACGTATTGGGCTGGGATTGATGCACTCGGGAGCATTGGCTTTGGCCATATTGAATTAGGGGCTTTGTACACATTGGTTATGTGCACCTCTCCTATCCTGATGCTGGTGAAGTAGGTGGCTTTTTCAGTTGGTGGGAAGGCATATAACTCTGCGATGGTGTTCTTCACGTACAGTATATGGCCAAGCCAAATTTTGGGTGGTAGTTGCTCGTCGGGAGGTTGTATCCATAGATGTGTTAGCGGCCACTGGCATGTAGGGCATCCAAGACGTGGGTTTCTTGGAGCGACAGGACATCAATGTTGTGGGTTTTCATTACGATTGTGAGATATTTGCACTTTGTCCGGCAGGGTCTCAATGTTCAGTTAAAGATTCTTTGTCCCATGGCCTATCTGGTGCAGTTTGGCTCTGAACAGGGTCATTGGCTTGGCTTGTGTTGTTGCTCTGGAGACCGGGAGATCAATGATTGATGTTTGGTCGCCACGTTGATAGCATTAGTCGTGATATCTCACTTAACAAAGTAAGTCGCATGAAGGCTGCCATTTTCACTCCACTGTAACTTACTGACATGCCCCTACTGGACATCTGTGAAAAAGAGCTTCATAGCTCATAGGATTCCTCCAGGATAAATAAAGATTCTGATTGTGCTCTCTACTTGACTGCCCTGCGCCAGTGGTGAATATCCCACATTCCCATGATCCCCTTGTGGGTCCTTACACCTTTTACACGCATAAACATAGCACCCGTAAAGTGTGATGTGTGGTGTAGCATCCTTGTTACCCATGGGCAGGGCAGATATTGTCATCGGACAGAGCGAAGGAGACAGACAGATCCGACTCCTGACCAGCAGAAAGGTGCAGTGTGCTTGGCTGAACGGAGAACGCCACACCGGGACCCACAACCTGAACCGCACGCACAGGTGCAGAGGTTTCAGACAACACAGGCCCAAGTCTCGAGCGAGTATTGCACTTACTGTGAGAGATCCAAAAGGAAACATTTATTTCACTACACTGGCATGTAATATAAATAAAAAATACGGTGAAAATCTTGCCAACTACACTGGAGTGAGCGGTGTTGTATTGTTGGGGAAGAGCAACGCAAGGGGTTATGGCGTGCTTGTCTGTCGTGGACGGGCATCACACTAGCACCACCATCACGCCGTGCCTCACCTTCATGCTAAGCTCCACGTTGATGTTCCCAACGTTTTGCAGCGGAAGCTTCTGAACGGTGGACGTGCCAGGGCGGGCCAAGAACTCCAGCGTCTGGAGTGGGAGACACCACGTGGCCCATGGCTGTTCAAGCTAAGCTACGTTTTACCAACATCAGTGCTGGTGATTATTAAGACTCCGAAAGTGTCATGGGAGCAAACTGCAACATTCTCTCGACAGAAGCAGACTTCATTAACCATGATTCCTGTGAAAGGGTGTGAAATTTAAACCCAACAAACGGCGCCATTCTCTGGAAACGGCCGGTGCTGGGTTGGGTGAGGATCGCCACCTGCAGGTGCTTGGGGGCATGGACACGAGCGACGCCGACACGGGCGTGGAGGGGCAGGCTGCTCACGACGGTGCTCGGCCCGGGGCTGTCCAGCTCCACGTCCACGCGTGCCGAGAAGTGCTCCACTGGACCCACGGCGTCTACGGGACGAGACAGCGAGGGCAGGGAGTCGACACACGCGCTGACGTGCATTGCGTGCACAATCTCACAAGCACACACAAAGTCATAAACATGCGCTAACAAACATAAATGCACATACTCAATAATGTGTTCACGAGCACATAGACTTACACACACATAGATGCACACTCGAGCACAACATACAAACAACAAATACTCGGGGTGACGTTCCCATGGTGCTTGTGGCAGGCTAGGTGCACTCCGAGGCCACGTGGAGTGTCGAAGATTTGCCGTCTGGACTGAGAGAATTTCCCTTCCCCAAGACCTCATAGAAATGCTCTACAAACCTGCAGACCTGTTCCTGGGTGTAGGAGGTCAGATCACCTAAAGGATGGTGATAGGTGAGGCACTGAAAGTTACTTTATTGATGGAATTAGAGTGATTTTAGGCAGATTTCATCTCCTTAACAAACCACGCCCACCACTCAGCGCTGCACGGCACTCCAAACTTCTGAGCTGCAGTAAACCTCCTCATTCTCCGACATGGGATATTGTAGACAATGGGAGTGGGCCTGCCATTTTCACTCAGCCAGCTGGAACTCCTCCTCTTTCAGCCATACAGCTGCATGAGACACAGTACTGAATCTCACCCATTTCCCCTCGGCATCAGGAGTGGGGGACGATGCCAACTCCAGCTGCAAGCATTGTTAAAATTCCTGCTTGCACCTTTCATCAGCTAGCTGAGACCATGCTACTGTGGTATTTGAATGGGGTCGTAGGTAGACACCCACTACCGGAGTGGAAAAATGGTAGGGGGATCTTAGAGATGACACACTCACACACACGTACTAACATGCACATACACTAATAAGACTCCAGCATTCACAAAGGATCACAAAGGCACACAAGGACACACAAGCACGTACTCACACACGTAAGCACACTTCCGCATGCTCACACACACATGCACACACCGAGCCATTTAGTTACTCCACTTGTGCGAGCCACGATTGCAATTAATGCTGGATTAATGCCGGACGCAAGGTGTTTCGTGATTGATTTGCACATGACATTTTACATTTACTTTTTGTTGCGAGTGTTTTATTTTCTTGTTGATTTTTATGACTGTTTTCATTCCTTTTTTTCCTGTGCTGGGATATTTCCATCTCACAGTGCTCTCACCTAATTACAAAGTTCACTCCAGCCAATGAGTATCAAAAAGTGTGCGTCTATTACAAGGTTCCTGTATGCACGTTGATTCATGTGGTGTGTGCAACGTGTCAGTGTGTGCGGTCGCATTGGCCAACGGTGGCGGTGACACAGACAAACTCACCAGTCAGACTGCCGTGCCGAGCCGGAGCTCTGAAGCAAATCCACAAAGTGGCTGCCTGGGACTCGGCCTCCTGTGCACACAGCAAGCAACGCCATCAAAACTGACACCATCGCCAACATCATGAACGCTATCACCTTCACCACTGCCCCCTTCATTGTAGGGGCGGTTAAACGGTAACCGATGACCGCTTTCCAAAAGTCCGGAATCAGTCATATTTTCATAATGAATGCCTTGATTGCCCTCGTTTCTCAGTTGAAATTGAAGAGACTTTCCACTGAGCTGAAGGAGACTGAATCGAACTGGCAACCTCTTGATTGCAGGTCCAGTGTGTGGAGCATTACATCACGAAAACTACCTTTGTTTTTCGGTTAACAAGGTAATCACGTAATATTGTTGGGAGACACCTAATATTGTTGGGAGACACCTTTATGTGCAGCAAATAAGTAACTACAGTAAACTTTCGATTATCCGCGCTAATGACGGGGAGGACGGCTGCGGATAATTCAAAATTGCAGATAATAAAAAAATATCCATTTTCCGTGGATCTCTATGCCAAAAACCACGTATATAGATATATATTAAGAATGAACACTAACGATCGATTGATTCACGTGCTCAGTGATAACACTTTCTTGCTCCTGCGTAGAAGACCCTGCCCACTAAGTGGATGATAGCAGAGTCACTTAGTGGGCAATCAAACTCCGCCCACTGTAGTCAAGATATGCAACTACTGTACTGTAGAGGTGATCAAGTGGATTTTGGATTAACCGGAGCATATATTTGTTCGGTTTAAGCACGTGACTTGTAATAAACATTTCCAAGAACAACAATATAGAACTGTTTTTAGATTATTAATTTGGGCTAAAGGGAAAATCCATGAGTTATTAACTTGTGTCAAATCTCAGGTGCGTGGTTAAGCTGCAAATCGGATAAACTGCACGCGGATAATCGAAAGTCTACTGTATTTTTTTTCATGCGATTACCGGTCACCCAAATTTTTTTTTTGTTGCCAGCCCCATAATGGACACAGCCCCATTGGCAGTGGGAGAGCCATCGGGGTGAGGGCGGTGAGGCAGCACCTGTGCGGAGTGTGCAGCGTGCATCACGAGGTTGATGATGGAGGGAGCGGACAGGGCCTCTGTCGTGGGGTTGGACGCCGTCTCTGGGTCGCTTCGGCTGAACGTGAAGCAGCGCCACGCCACAGCGTTCTACACGTTGACACAAAAGATCCCCCGTATAGCCTTAACAGAATGTATGAGCAAGTGCTTCTAGCAAGCACCTATGAAGGCCGGCAAGGCACACGAGGGGGTGGGTGGCCAGAATCACGCCCGGCCACCATCACACACCTGGCCGCCTTTGTCTCCCGAGTGATGATGTTTACACACCACACCAGGTACTCAATGGAGGCTGAGTCAACCTAGGGGAGGCCCAGGACCAGTAAATGAAATCGAGCCACCAAGATCATAGTACAGTGCGCTAACCAATGATCCACTGCTCCGCACAATACAGACAAAGATCCCAATATAGCCGACAATGACTACTGGAACATGTGCTGTTAATAAAGCACCAACGAAGGCTGGCATGGCACAGAATACATGCACAATACCTTTACACCTCCACGTTCCTCTCCCTGGGAGTGGTACATATGTATGCATGTTGAACCTCTTTCGCACAGTATGTAGCCAACCGTGCTAATCGGATGTATGGGTTTAACACGTAGGCTTTTGCAACCAGTATTATTCATAATGAAGGTTTTTGGGTTAGATTGCGTTACTTATAAATGTGTCACAACCCTCCACCACCTGACACGGCCAATCAGTAAAAATGTGTCACGTTGACAAAAATGTCACTACTTTAGCGCACCGGTGTGTTGAAGAGTGGATCCACAACACTTTTGTTTAAAGAAGTCACCTCTCCACAAGAAATAAGTGTTATTTAGACAATGGTCGGCTAGTTTTGGAATATCTTCTGGTAAACCTGTCTTCTTTACCAGTGTATCAAGTAATTTAAGCGACTCGTTAAATGAAACCTTAGTGAACAGAGACATTGCATCAATATCATTGGGGTTAAGCTTAATATCTTTAATCACATTCACAAGATGTTCTGAATTTCTTATAAATTAAAATATCCTTCCGATGTAGGGCTGTATTTGGTTAGTTACATACTTTGATAATTTATGTGGCAGAGCCTATTGTACTTACTATGGGCCGTAATGGGATACCGATTTAACAAATTTTTGGTAGCCCACACAATCTTGGTGGTTATGAGGCCCGTGGCTTAATTTGGTATTGCTCAGTCTTGGGGATTAATGAATTTGCAATGATTGCAGAAGTCTTGCATTCTAAAATATTGGTTGGATATTAAAATTAAACAACACTCCCATTCCTGGATATTTTGCTTGGACGCGGTCAAAATGGCAAAATGACACACAGCATCGACCAAAACGGAACGCACACAGATGCCTATCTGAATGCAGATTCACATCATCATCCAGCACAGACATCCTCTCTCATCAAGACACTCATACATCGGGCAAAGACAGTGTCAGATGGTGAAAGTTTAGGGAAAGAGATCAAACATGTTAAAGAAGCACTAAGACTGAATAGCTACAATAATGCTCAAATTAACAGAGCATTGAATGCCAAATCAAGATCGAACAACAATACTGCTGAAAGTGATCAGATTATCAAAATAATTAAAATACCATATATCTCGGGAGTTACTGACAAAATTAGCCCTTGTTTTGCAAACCAAAACATTAAAGTGAGATTTGGTACAGTACACAAAATTCAAAAACTAGCGTCTTGTACTAAAGATGAATTAACGAAGTTCGCAACAAAAGGTGTATATCGGATCAATTGATTATGCAGCAAGTGTTATATTGGACAGACGGGACGTAATATTAGCGTAAGACTAAAAGAATACCAAAGGAACATTAAATTATCCCAAACACAGCTGTCAGCAGTGGCAGAGCATGCTTGCCAACAAGGACATTCAATTGATTTTGATAACGTTGAAGTGTTATGCAGTACTAATTATTACTGACCAAGATTAGTTAAACAACTGATTGAAATTTAGAAGAATTCAAATAATTTTAATCGCTGTGATCGCTATAGACTCTGCGCAGCATGGAAGCGTATTATTAAGTAATACACAACACATTGCAATTCCTTATAGGGGAGTCATATGCCAAGTGGCTGATTACTGATCTATTACATAATTGTATACACCCCCACCTCCAATCTCGAATCCTGATGGGGTTCAACAATGATCACGTCATCCTGCACTATTTAAGACCGGAAGCAGGTGGATGGCTTCACTATTCTGGCAAATCACCCGACGATGCTGGATGTAATTTCCAGCGAAACGTCGTACTCAAATTGTAAATGTTGTGGATCCACTCTTCAACACACCGGTGCGCTAAAGTATTGTCAACGTGACACATTTTTTACGGATTGGCCGTGTCAGGTGGTGGAGGGTTACGACAACCCAAAAACCTTTATTACGAATTAATGGGGTTAGGATAACTAACTAAACACAGAAAAGCAGTTTGAAAGTAAGGAGTTTTCAATATAGATTGAAAAGTCCATAGCTCCAGTGGCTTCCTAATAACGGAAGGATGAGACTTGACTTAAAGCTTTCGTGACTGCAGGAATTCACTCATTAGGTCTTTCGGTAAAAGTCATGGAGATAAGAAAAAAAATCACAAAATATATATCTTCCTGCCTCAGCAGTCCGCCTGCTGTATTTTTTAACCTGAAGACGACTGCTTGTGTTGCAATCGAAACGTCGTGATTTTTTCTTATTTTTCTATCTACGTGACTTTACCGAAAGACCCAAAGAGGAAGGATGAGAGTTCCAGACGACCACAGAAGCGCATCTGAATGCGTGCAATGCAGTGACCGTCTTTGTTCGATGGCAAGCCAAAAGCCGCTGCAATGATGACTGGAGTTCACGTGATGGTTTATGCTCCTTGACGAGATTAACAACCTATTGCTGTTCAAGCACTTTGTGTGTGTAATGAGTGCGACCGTAAAATATATTCGTTCGGCAACCGGAAGCAAGTGCAGCTTGGCAAGCACTGGACAGACATGGTCGGATCTTGCAGTATCCATCACGACAAATGCCAAATTATTTTGTATACTTTGCAGCTCGAGGTGGCGCTCACCGCAGAGATGACAAGACGCACGGGAACGGTGGCGCGCGTCCGGTTCGTCAGCCGCACTGGCAGTACTCGCGCCATGCCCCACTGCACGTCGCCAAATTCCACGCCCTGGCCACTCCCGGCTTCCACCTGTGAGCATCACCAACAACAACACCGCCATCATCAATAATGGTCCACCACCACAATCAACCTCATAATTTGTTTTTACTTTCTTTTTATTTTACCAGGTAAGGCCCACTGAGCTATATAGCTCTTTTTCAGAAGCATTCTGGTCACAAATGACAGCTCAATGAGCTGGCTTACCATGTGGAAATGTATAGCAGCCAAATACTGTGAACACGTTTTTAAATGTGAAGGGAAAAAACGGAGCACCGGGAGAAAAATCCATGTGACAACGGGGAGAACATGCAAACTCCAAATAAACAAGCTACAAGGTCGGGATCGAACCCATGTATGCTATATAACAGGATGAGATAATTAACATTTCGCCACTGTGGCGCTCATTGCAAGATCATCAGCACCACAATCACTGGCAGTGTCCACAATCATTATCAATATAGCCATGATTATCACCATTATCCACCAATATCATTATGATCATCATCTTTATCAGTTGCCACAATCAAAATAACTTCTGTTGTCGCTAACATCGCTATTACTATCACCATCAGTGTCCACCATCATCAGTACCCTTTCCGTGATCCATTGGTAATAAAAAAAACACATACAGTCTAACATGTGTAGTGACATAGAATCGGTCATGTAGCAGCATAGCGCTGGCTGCTGGCGGGGAAGTGTATCTGCCGCTTAAAGCAGCCCTGACTGACAGCAGGCCAGGTGATCGACCAGAGAGGGATCTAGGGGAAAGAACACGGAAGGGGCACATCAAGAACCCGCTAGTAGGTTCCAGAAAGGGGGTGTGGCTGGGGGCGGAGCCAGGCCACGCTGACAGTATAAGAGGGGCCCCTGTAGGGGACCTCGAGGCTGTCGTGTAGAGTGGGATCCCGTCGTGCTGCTGGAGTCTTCGCAGTCGTCTCCGTCTTCACCATCTCGGCGTCGCCAGTCAGGCAGTGTACCAGCTGTCTTGACTGGGAACCGTAGTTCATTTAGTGTTAACTGTCAGGATGTGCCTCAAACTCTTAGTGTCTCCGAGTCAATCACTACACATGCACAAAGACCCCCCGTATAGCCTTAACAGACTGTAGGGGCAAGTGCTCTTAGCGAGCAGCAATGAAGGGTGGTACGGCAGACGTAGGAGTGGGTGGCTAGCACCATGTCCGGCCACCTTTGTCCCCCCAGTGGCGTAGTTTACACACACCGCACCAGGTACTCATTTGAGGCTGAGTCGACCAAGAGGAGGCCCGGGATCGATTCAGATAATCGTCAGCGGGAATTGAACTCGGGTCTTCGGGTTCGTAGCGCAGTGCACTAACTGTAGCACTACCGTTCCCCAGAAGCTGAAAGACAAACACAACAGACACCTGAACATGGGGATTTTGCGCCAGCGCCGTGAGCAGCACGCGGGAGGCGAGGGCACCGGCGTGCGCCACATCCACCGGCGTAGCCGCCACGGGCCACGACGCCACGGAGAGCACGCACACGTGCACGCCAGCCCGGCGTGGCACTAGCAGCACGCGCACGTCCTCGGAGGAGCGCGGCCCCAGCACTGTCTGGCTCTTGAACACCAAGCACTGCTGGCTCTCGCCCTCCACCTAGGCACGCACGCACACACGTGAGTGCAACAACAACCGCTATTTGCAACTAAGTGGCAGTGATGTCACTACGGCACTTGTGCCAGGCTCAGTGCACTTTAAGGCCAAGTTAAGTGTTGAATGCCCGCTGGCAGGAGGTCACAGGACAGGCCCAGGTGCCTAAATGAGATGTCTGACGATGCACCACCCGTGCCCCCGACTGCGTCAACTCGCTGTGTATTAGGCACCCGGCGCTCCAACAATGTGCGGAGTCTTATTCAGGCACAAGCAAGCATACACACCTCTACAGACATAATAAACATTGAGTACATTTCATGTTTCTTGCGATCCATAAAGTGCAAAACCATCACAAAAAGGAGGCAATGATGGCTATATGTAATCCCAATTGAGTAATTTGTGGGTAAATTCTTTTTATTTGGCATATTATGGGCTACTAATTTTGAATGACGTCACTGGATCTTTAACTTTCGATTTAAAGCTTTCGTGACTGCAGGGATTCATCTACTGGGTTCTTTCGGTAAAGTCACGTAGAATGGAGATAAAATAATAAAAATAATAACAGAATAAAATTCTCACGACGTTTCGGCCACAACACAAGTAGCCTTCCTCAGGTGAAGAAACAGGACTGTCTGGAAGACAGCACTTGAGTGAACCCTGCCAAGCTTGGAAGCGTCTTTTAAGCTGTGTGGGAGGAACAGAGCGCCTTGACAAAGGAGTTTACATATAAAATTAGCATGTAACTGGGGGATTGGCATGATGTTGGTGTGAGGGATGAGCACCACGGAGAGCAACAAGCTCGGACCGGAGAAGGGGGGAGAGGAGTTTACATATAAATTAGCATGTAACTGGGGGAATAGCATGATGTTGGTGTGAGAGATTAGCACCACGGAGAGCGACGAGCTTTGTTCAGACGGACGAGTCCATCTATTTTGATTTAAAGCTTTCGTGACTGCAGTAATTCATATTCCTAGTTCTTTCGGTAAAGTCACGTTGAAGGGAAACAATAAAATAATAAAATATATATAAAACAATAAAAATGCTCACGACGTTTCGACCATAACACAAACGGTCGTCATCAGGTGTGTCGGTCCGCATTAATTATTTTTTTTGCGCGGTGTATTTATTTATTTATAAAAACGTTAGCGCCACGCGCAGCGATTTGGCAGTTTATTTAGGACTAGTCCATCTATGTTCTGAAAAGAGGAGGGGGGAGACGAATTTTTTTTTGTGCTGTCTGAAAGCCACTGTAAGCGTAAACAATCAATTAAGACCTGAAATGGTTTATCAAATCTTTCCAATGATTGCTAAGCCAGAATCCATCTTCTCGGTTGAAATTGTCTCTGTGCTTGTATATGTGGATAGCCTCATGAACGAATCTCTCATGGTAGCCAGATGGCTTACATATAACAATGATCTGCCACGGCCGAGGTGTTGGTCCTACCGTGTTTAAGGTCTGCTTTGTGTTCACGAATGTGGTCCGAGACATGGCGTTTGGTTTCTCCAATGTAACTACTACCACAGAGGCCACTTAGTTTGTAGACACCAGGGTACTGTATGTCCAGAATCAATGCTGTCCACGTGCCCCCCGAGGTGCCCCCTAGGCCCCCGGCCCCCACTGGGGTCCAGTCACGTGTCCAGCCGGGGTCACAGAGAGTGCCACTGCCTCACACCACCCTCGTGGCCTCCCGAGTCCAGAACCGGCCCTGACGTCATTCCCGCCTCCAGCCGGGATGACGTCATGTGTGTGTGTAGACCCGCGTGGTCATGACGCTCCCCCACATAGTGACGTCACACTTGTGCGTGTGTACACAGTAGTGATGCTATCATCACTTCACATGTAGACAATATGACTGCCTCTTCAGCTGCCACTATATCGACCAAATGTAAGGACAACTTGATTTCCAAATTCAACCGCCTCTCCAACAAGAAATCGGACCCACACACCGAAAAGCTAGACGTTAACAAAGTCGTTATTAATCGCAGTAACAGTTCTATTTCTGATGGTCTGAAAACCGTTTTAGCTAAAGGACTAAACTTTGCAGTCACACTTAGACACATACCAGTTAATGATATCATTGCCCATGTCGACGTGGCACTCAAGGGCCTGGGTCACATCGCTGCAGACGTAGCAAGATCTGAAATCGCTGCAACCCTCAAAAACGCTAAGATGCCAGCTAGCAACATCAGCAAAGATGAGCGCTTTGAAATATCTCAATTAAAAAAGAGGGATGACATTGTCATTCTCTCAGCCGACAAGGGCAATGCAACTGTCATCATGGACAAAATACAATATAACAACAAAATTCAGGAACTACTCAACGATGGCAGCTACACCAAAATAAGAAGAGACCCCACCAACAGCCTCGTTACTAAAACCAACAAAATAATTTATGATTCAACAGCATGAATTGACCAAACCAAACAGTTCTCGTTGAAACCTTCTGCGGCTAGGCCACCGAGACTATATGGCCTTCCAAAGATACATAAAGAAGATACAGCCCTTCGTCCCATCGTCTCTACTATCAACTCCCCCACCTACAAACTGGCTCGTTTTCTGTCTGAAATCCTGCGGTCTTTTACTGGAAAAAACACCTCTGCGGTACTAAACTCTACTCACCTGGTTTTGACAATTAAGGGTATTTCCCTGTCCCCAGACGACCTGCTTGCCAGTTTTGGTGGTTTCCCTATTCACCAAAGTTCCTGTACCTGACACCATCGCAATCATTGAAGACTTGGTTCATCAAGGACTGCATACTGATGTACCCCCCCTGGTGAGACACTGCTTCACCAACACATACTTCACCTGGAATGGAACTTTCTACAAACAAACTGAGGGCACCCCAATGGGCTCCCCCCTATCTCCGGTTGTAGCCAACGTTTTCATGGAGAAATTTGAAACTGACGCCATCCAGACTGCCACTCGTCGCCCGACCTCATGGAAGAGGTGCGTCGATGACACTTTTATCATCTAGCCACATGGCCGGCCTGCTCTAGACCAATTCCTCGAACACATCAATTCCATATACCCAGCCATCAGATTTACCATGGAAGTCGAAAAAGATGGCAAGCTACCCTTTTTGGATGTCCTAATTAAAAGGAGACCTGATGGTTCAATGAGCCACTCTGTCTACAGGAAAGCTACCCATACAGATGCTTACTTGAAGCCGGATTCCCACCACCATCCATCCCAGAAGAACTCCCTCATCAAGACTCTATACCATAGAGCCCAATGCATTTCCGACCAGGAACACATTGCTAGTGAACTCAAGCATGTACACCAAGCTCTCAAGGCTAATGGTTACTCCAACTACACAATCCGCAAAGCCATTCAAAAACATCAACATTACCCTACATTGCAGGGGTCACAAAAAAGATCTCCAAAATCCTGAATAAACACAAGATCCAGGTCCGATTCAACACAGTACATAAAATCCTTGATCTGGTTCCGTCTGCAAAAGATGTGGTTCCAGACATACAGTACTCGGGCGTCTACAAACTAAGTTGCCTCTTTGGAAGCAGTTACATTGGAAAAGCTAGACAACATATCTTGGACCGCATCCGTGAACATAAAGCAGACTTAAAACACGGTAGGACGAACACCTCAGCCGTGGCAGATCACTGTTATAATTCAGTGGGCTCACATGACATTGACTTCTCCAAGACGGAGGTTCTCTGCAAGCCACCTGGCTATCATGAGAGATTCGTTCATGAGGATATCCACATATACAAACACAGAGACAATTTCAACTGAGAAGATGGATTCCGCCTTAGTAACCATTGGAAAGACGTTATAAACCATTTCGGTTCTTGATTGATTGTATTTTACGGTGACTTTCAGACCGCAGTCCATTCGCTAGCACTGCCTCTTAGTACATTTCACACGACGGTCAGTAGTATAGTTTATAGCATTTTGTATAATAATAATAATAAATAGTATAACAGTGTAATGTTTAACATAATTCATAAAGCAATATATAGTACCGTAATTGTATAGTGAATATACAGCAGTGTGGTATACAGTAGAATAATACATAGTGTAATACTACAAGTCTAATATTTTATAGTCTAAAGTATAGGGTAGTGTATAGTAACGCATTGTATAATTCAAGGGTGGGATTTGTCTATGGATACGATATTATACAATGTAGTTTAGATTGGAAGGTATAATATTGTATTGTATAGTAGTCCAGTTTATAGCATAATTATAACGCAACACAGGACAGAGCAGCGCACCGTGGCCGTTTCCTCCTCTACCCCCCCTCCTCCGTTCCGAACATAGATGGACTCGTCCGTCTGAACAAAGCTCGTCGCTCTCCGTGGTGTTAATCCCTCATACTAACATCATGCTAATCCCCCAGTTACATGCTAATTTACTGTTTATATGTTAATTCCTCTCCCCCCTCCTCCGTTCCGTACATAGATGGACTCGTCCGTCTGAACAAAGCTCGTCGCTCTCCGTGGTGCTAATCCCTCACACCAACATCATGCTAATCCCCCAGTTACATGCTAATTTATATGTAAACTCCTCTCCCCCCTTCTCTGGTCCGAGTTCGTCGCTCTCCGTGGTGCTCATCCCTCACACGAACATCATGCCAATCTCCCAGTTACATGCTAATTTATATGTAAACTCCTTTGTCAAGGCGCTCTGTTCCTCCCACACAGCTTAAAAGACATTTCCAAGCTTGGCAGGGTTCACTCAAGCGCTGTCTTCCGGACAGTCCTGTTTCTTCACCTGAGGAAGGCTACTTTTGTAGTGGCCGAAACGTCGTGAGAATTTCATTGTTATTATTTTTATTATTTTATCTCCATTCTACATGACTTTACCGAAAGAACCAAGAAAGATGGATCTTTAACGTCCGTCGTGAAGTGGACAGTGTGTATTTTATGGTCAATACACCAGCAGCAATAACCAGGGTGACCTGCTGGAATCAAACTGTGAACCCTCTGCAAAAAGTAGCGAACACACTACAGCTGGGCCACGTTACAGCCCCATAACAACAACAAAGGCCGTTCACCAGTAAGTGGCGGTGATGCCACCACGGCGCTTGTGCCACGCATGGTGTACTTTGAGGCCACGGTGAGTGTCGAAGACCCGCTGGTAGGAGATTGTGAAACAGACCCAGGTACCATGGGGTTGACTGACTGAGATGACTAACAGATGCACCAACTGTGCGCCCCAATGTGCTTCACTTGTTTTTTATGTCCTCCACGGAGGCAGATCTTGATACTGCTATTAGCAGTCATCGGCAAGTCCAATCAGCTCAACATCCTTCTGTACCGCATGAGTTCATCTCTTCTCTACCACGTGCTACGCCCATTTAGCCCCATCTGTCTGGGCATGCGGTGGCTGGGCATGCGGGCTACATGACTCAGCCAATGCAGACCCACTTGCCGGAGGATGTCACGGATGGGAATGCGTCCAGATCTTTCAAGAAACTGTGCACTCTGAACAGAATCTAGTCTGGTTAAACCCAGGATGGATCGTAGGCAGGCTAGCCTAAATGTTTCAAACCGGCGCAGATGTTACTTTAGAGCAGGGGTGGGGAACCTTTTTTCTGCCAAGGGCCATTTTGATATATATAACATCATTCGCAGGCCATACAAAATTATCAACTTAAAAAATAGCGTGTTATATTGGGTCAAACATTTAATTAACTCACCCCTAATGTGATGGCTGGAACTGCTTCTCTTTGGTGAGGCGTGTGATGTTAGCTGGTATTGATGATGTTGCTACTCGCAACTGCTTTTCCAGGTTTGCTCCTATATTTATTGAATTTCGAGTCCCGCCTGCGGTTGCCTTGGCAGGGCCAGTGTAAATGATTTTGCGGGCCTTATACGGCCCGCGGGCCGGACGTTCTCCACCCCTGGTTTAGAGGGCTCCACTTTTTCCAAACAAAGCTAAGAGAGGGCATAACTGTAGTCGAGAACACCCAGAGCTGTATGGAGTAACAGTGTTACGTAGCTGATGAAAAGATAATGCCGCTCGACTGAATCGGAGTGAGACTTCAGCTGCCAAACCGAAGCTGGTCATAAGCACACTGCCCAAGTATGGAAACTTCTGCACTGCCTCCACAACTGCCCCATCACTTATGAGTTGAGGGAGGGGGGTGTTTGATGATACATAATACCCAGGCAGGTGCCTTTGTTTTTTTGGGAATGATAATAAGGCCCCATCTCTTAGTAGCACGCTCCAGGTCCAGCAGTAGCGTCTCCAACTCAGAGTGGGCAGTAATCACCAGATCATCCAAATACCAATGGTTGACCAATAGGGAGCCATCCCTTGACTGGTACATCCATGGAAAATATCGTCAAAGAATGTAAATTTGGCCTATCTATTGCACCAGCTGCCCTATCCTCCACCTCTGGCCGAGAACGTCGTCCTCATGCCACGCACCTTCTCGCACCACACACCACCTCGTACCTTCTCGCCGTCGATGGAGGTACTCAACAGGCACAGCGACACCTGCAGCCAGCGCTCAGTGGGGTTGTAAACGTTGAGCGATGTCTGTGCCGCGATGCCCACGCAACACGCATTGGGGAAGCCCAGCTCCTCCGGCACCAGCACGCGGCACGGTGTCGCCCCGAGGTCTGCATGGACATGGCTGTTTAGTACACATTTGGTGATTCACCCCCATAGCAATTCAGCCATCACAATTCGGGATGTAATTCTATTCAAGAATCAATTCGTATTATTGTCTCATAATACCCACCCGTTTGTATTATTTCAGATTTTATCTTGCTTGTACAGCTACCTCCACTCCACATACACAATTTTATCCACGAAGCGAGAGCATAACCATTTTAATTCATAAATCAAGACATTGTCACATGCCCAGTCTTGACCATAGGTGATACCAGATGCCTCGCACACACAGGTTGCAATTATATCTCTGCTCACCCAGCATGTGCACCAATCCAGAATGAGTTCCCGGAAGCAGCCCGTGTTGCGCCCCCTGAAGGATTCCGGCGAGTGCCGGCATGCTGTACAGTCCGGACCTCGCGGCGGTGCAGCTCACCGCTGGCACCGTACTCATGAATCCCGCCGTCGGAAAGGCAGCCCGGGTGACGCTGGCGACGCAGTGCAGGTGGCACGAGGACGGAAGCGGCACGGTGGGCGCCGGCGGCACGGTGGGGGCCGGCGGCACCGTGTAGTGCGGCGTGGCCAGCGCGCCGGGATAGTCGGCTGTGATGTTGTTCGTCAGGTAGCGCTGCACCAGCGCCGCCGAGGACATCAGAGACTGCGCCGTGAGCAGCGTCGGGGCGGCGTTGGACGCCGGGACTCGGAGAGGGGCTGCCAGTTGCCCGGGGTCTGTAACTCTGTCGGGTGGCAACTGGATGGTGCCGGAACTGGCAAGATGATGGTAGGAGGTGGTGGAGGAGAGCTGCAGGGTTTGGCGAGGGCTGTGCTGTAGCTCGACTCCGCTGGACGCGGGGGTCAGGGTAGCATCCAGGTCTGGCGTGGGGCTGGCCGACACAATGGTCGTGCTGAGTTCATCACACTGCGGAGCACATACGCACGCACGCACATGGGTGGAAGGCCAGGTACTGTTAGCGCCAACTCATATGGAGACTTATCCTTTATGTTGTGGTCTAGGCATTCTGCACTGCAGACTCAGTGCATGTCTACAAGTACTCCCTTAAATTTTGTCCCTTTTACTCTGCCTATAACGCTCTCTTTCCATCTTACCATACACTCACCATCTCCCTGTCCACTCACCATCACCTCTTCTCCCAGCATGTGTTCCTAATCTTTGTACAGCATTTTGTGATGCAGTCACATTTGGATACTTAATACTCCAATTTGTACTGAAGTGCTCTGGAGGCAGGGTTGGTGAATTCTATTAATTCCTCTCAGCCTCAGACATCAAGAGATCCCACATCATCAGCTGACCCACAAAACCCACGTTGGAGGCATTAGGACACGTTCTCCACTATAAAAAAACAAAACATCTGGGATACTGTATTTGCAGTGGTGTACAAACACGAAAAATACTCGTGTTCTTCAATAACAATGCCCAAAAGAGTAATATTTATAAAACAGGTGAGGTGTCAGGAAATGGCCCATGTTCTCCACTGTGAAGAAGGGCCATTGCAACAACATTACCCGTTATATCAGTTTCCATCTTTAGGGTACTGTTATTGAAGAATGTGCTGCAGTGATCAAGCCTCACCTTGGTGGTCGAGATGGGATGCTGGGGGAAGCAGATGCTGTTCTGTAGGGTGCTGTCACCTTCAGACAGGTACGTGAGGCGGCTGAGGCTCGGGTCACACGGGGAGGTAGGGGACGCATGGCCGACGGCCCCGTTCACGCTTGGAGTGGCGCACGGCACAGACGTCCCACTGGCCCGGTCGTCACGCACGACGCTGCGCACGCACAGCCATGTACACAACACCAGAGCATACCTGGCATCACACGCGCTACTACATACTATTACCACACAATGACACATACTGGAGGGATGCAATGCTAAGCAGAATGGACTTGCAATCTCCCAGTCCAATTTCCCACCCAGCACGGCAGTTGAAACCATGAGCTGGATTCATAAATCCTCCCCTACCCATGACTGCCCACTCAGCAGTATTCATGGACACACGACAGTTAATCGATCTGCAGGTCACATGTGCGGTGGAGCAAAGTGTGGGTACTTCCACCTCTTAGAAAATGTCTGGCTAGCATGAAAGAGCAGGCCAAATACGCTCTCGAGGGCCTCTATTGAGCTCCTTCTAGTTGAGGCAGTTCTGCCAGTAGTGGCATGAGCAAGCAAATGACAGGGCTGCGCCTTTAACCGCTTGCCAAAAACTGGGGCCGTACATTCAGTGCCCAGGAGATGCAATGAATTGTTACGATTAAGGGTCATGGTTTGATGAAATAAATATATTTTTTGTCTCATTTGTACCATCTCCTTTGCATTATTTCTCATTTCTTCTGCCTGGATTTCACAATTGCGTTCGCCTCGTTAACCTATATGTAAATAAGAGTATTTAACTTTCATAAATATAGATTGAATCTAGATTTGAAGCTTTCGTGACTGCAGGAATCCATACTCTCTGGTTCTTTCGGTAAAGTCACGTAGGTATAAAATGAAATAAAAATAAATCACGACGTTTCGATTGCAACACAAGCAATCATCAGGTGGGAAAACCACAGCAGGATTCCATGTGTATATCATGAGCATATTAAAGTGTTTAAATCATTAAATGATACATCACTCCATACCTTCAGCATACACAATTCAGTAAACCCTTGCGATGCGCCAGTTCTGGTTTAGCGAATTTTGCATATATTAGCGAGTGACTAAATGTATGCCAATTCCTTATTCGCGACCCCCCCGGACTCCAGTATTCACAAGTGTACGTAGCACCATGCCACCGGCATTGCGAAGATTAGGCAAGCTCCCTCGGCTGCCTACTTTGTCCTTAATCTCGCAGTAATCCCGCTCTGAACTCACTGTTGTGCATTTTTACTTTATACTACTGTAATAAAGTATTTCCACGACGATGCTTGTTGGGTGCTTCTTTATTCACAACGGTACAGCACAGCTTCACTTCCCCTCCCGCTGGTCCCACTCTCCCAACCCGTGGACGAGGTGCCTCTCTCTCTCCGCGTTCCCGCGAGGCTCACTCCACTCTCCGGCCTCGCCGCTGGCTGATGGTGTGCTGGAAGCGGAGGCGAGCTTCGAGGGAAGATCCGCCACGTGGCCCGTGGCGAGGAGGAGAGGGGCAGCACCGCCGTCCGGAACCCAGGCTTCCACACCGGCCTCGAACCTTCCCCTCGCTCTCCCTTATATCTCCCTCGGCGAAGCTAAGCCCCGCCTCTGGCCACACCCCCTCGGGGAACCTTCCGAACGTCTCACCGGCCCGATCATATCCCCCTCTCGGATTGGATCCCGATCACATCATCGTGCCCGCACTCGTTACCCTCTGGTATCCCCTGGATGGCGCTCCCTCATTACACTGCTTACAGTCGACTTGTTTATACGTTTTGGTATAAACGAGTCGACTGTGAGGTCCATTAAAAAGAACGCGAATGCAATCAGGGAAAGTGTTGTGGCTAGCACTCCCCAGAGTGCTAAAATAACAACTCTGCATTGTTATCAAACACCAGCATCTACCGATGAGTCATCCTCCTGAATTCCTCACCATCACCACCATCTCCATCTTTGTCAATCATCATTATCAAAGGTAATAAAAAAAACACATTGTTCTGTATATTTTTTGTCTTCGTCATTGTTATTTAACATTTAGCATTTACCCCGTGTTCACTCGTACCAGGAACTAAACCCCATTAGAACAAGGTTTCTGCATACGCAAATTCTGCATTCGCAAGCGTTTTCAAGAACACGGAGAGGGTTTTCAAGAGGGGGTTTACTGTACTAAGCATGACAAAACCATATGGTACCACACTAGACAGTACTACACATGATAACCAAGTACACAATGTGGCATCACACAAAACAACACCACACACAAGACAACACCACATGAAAACAAACACGACGCGATACACGCACAACACCACACACGAAACACCACACATGGTGGTGAGGACAGAGGAGGAAATACCTTGGTGGCAGTAGGGATGATGGTTGTGACGCTGATGGTGGTGGATGCGTTGCAGCAAACGGTGGAAATGAAGGCAATGGTGATATCGATGGTGAATTGAGCTTTACCTTGGGGCGGTGCTGGTGGTGGTAGAGTTGCTGGTGTCAGATCCCTGGCCTGGCGACGAGTGAGACAGCGGTGACGTGGACGGGCGGAACAGAAAAGTCTCCTCGGGCTGCCCTTCCCGTGGCTCGCTTGATCCCAAGTTGTGCTCTGCCAAGCACGCCATTAGCAGGGATGAGCACACCTCAAGCACGTGTACACACTGCTGGAAGAGGGCCTCCCCTTAGCTGCTGGTCAGTGGGTTGGCGAAGGCAAGGAGCATAAATGTGGGAGCATAGAATCTAAGTACATTGAATTTTGTTGCACAGCCCTCTATTGACCACCATAGAGCAGTCCCGCAGCCACCTTTGACAAACTTGGCATGCAAGGTGGTCACCCATCCAAGTATTATCCAGGCTGAGATAAAATCAATCATTTGATCGTTTAGTGATGTTGTGCCGTGATGCTGTGGTGCTCAAGCAGCAATCGTCCCAGTAGAGGATCACAGACAGTGCTTGTGCAATGTTTGACGCCGATTCAGTCTGTGGTTTTGAATACTGATGATGTTTGAAAAGATTTGTCTGACCAATATAACATGACATCCCTTTAACTACTGGCTATCAAATTCAAGACCTACTTAATGAATGTAGCGACACAAAAAAATTAAAGAGATCCCACTAACAGCCTCGTTACAGAAACGAACAGTATCACTGACTCAGCTTAATTAATTGAACAGACCAAACTGTTTTCATTAAAACCTTCTGCTGCTAGACCACCCAGATTATATGTCTTACCAAAAATCCATAAAGAAGGAACACCCCTTCGTCCCATCGTCTCCACCATTGGCTCACCCACCTGCAAACTGGCCTGTTATCTGTCTGAGACAAGGCCATAATTATAATATATACTGGGGGGGGGGACAACCCCCCTCTCCAATATATTGCTATAAAATAAATTTCTGTTTATATGATTGTGGTTATGGTTGTACTTGATTAATCCCTAATCTCTGCCATTACATACAATGAAATAAGAAAAGGTAAAAAAACAGCAATGTAATACAATACACTATTAGACATTGTAAAAAATAAATAAAAAGTCCATCCTATGTGTTAGTGAATTTTTTTTATATTTTAGGCAGGAAATTCGTTTTCAAATTAAGATTTTTTTTTTCTGGGGGGGGGGGAACCCGGACCCCCTGGAAGATTTGGTCCCGCCCAATGTTGACTCCATGGCTACAGCCTTGGTCTGAGACCTTGCAGCCATTCACTGGTAAGACCACCTCTTCTGTACTTAACTCAGCTCACCTGGCATCGTCAATAAAAGACATCTCACTGTCCCCAGGCGATTTGTTCGTTAGTTTCGATGTAGTTTCTTTGTTCACCAAAGTTCCTGTGCCCGATACCATTGCAATCATTGAAGATTTGGTCCAACAAGGATTTAATACTGATGTAGCGGCCCTGGTGAGACACTCCCTCACCAATACATACTTCACCTGGAATAGAACATTCTACAAACAAACTGAAGGCCCCTAATGGGTTCTCCCTTATCTCTGGTTGTAGTCAATATTTTCATGGAAAAATTTGAGACGGATGCCATCCAGGCATCCACTCTATGCCCGTCCTTTTGGAAGAGGTACGTGGATGACACGTTTGTCATCTGGCCACATGGCCGACAGACTCTGAAGCAATTCCTCAACCACATCAATTCCATACACCCAGCCATCAAATTCACCATGGAGGTAGAAAAAGATTGCATGCTACCTTTCTTGGATGTCCTAATAAAAAAGAGACCAGATGGCTCAATGAGCCATTCTGTCTACAGGAAAGTAACCCAGACTGACGCCTACCTAAAACCTGATTCCCACCACCATCCATCCCAGAAGAATTCCCTCATCAAAACGCTAAACCATGGAGCTCAATGTATCTCTGACCATGAACACGTAGTGAACTAAAACACGTACACCAAGCTCTCAAGGCGAATGGATATTCTGACTACATAATCCGCAAAGCCATCACCCCAACCGTGAGGAAGGAGCCATCTGAGGATCCAATCAAAACCATCACCTTGCCATACATAGCAGGTGTAACCAAAAAGATTTCCAAAATCATGAACAAACACAAGATCCAGGTCCGATTTAACAAAGTACATACCTGTGAAGGATAAGATTCCTGGCGTCTACAAACTAAGCTGTATACGCGGCAGCAGTTACATTGGGGAAACTAAGCGACATGTCTTGGACCGTGTTCATGAACATAAGGCAGATCTGAAACACGGTAGAACCAATACTTCTGCCGTGGCCGATAATTATTTTAATGTGGCTGGCTCACACGACGATGGTACTTTGCAAGCCTACTGGCTATCAACAAAGATTCGTTCATGAAGCCATATATACAGACAATTTCAACCGAGAGGATGGTTATAAACTCAGCAATCACTGAAAATATGTTATCAACCACTTTGGATCATGACTTGATTTGTGTTTTCTTGTCAACCTCCACCGTCAGCAGTGTGGGTGTGTGGAGCAAGGTGCAATGATTGCCTGGAGGCCCTTTTGGTGGAGACCCACTAACTGCTTAGTTGATTCCTACATTAACATTAGCTGCCCCGCCCATGCTACTGACACACTTGGGCTAAGCCTATCTCTAATCCTTTAGATGATGACAGGCACTTGCGTTGCGATTGAAACGTCATGGGTTACATTTTTATTTGATTTTGATTTATTCAGGTTAGGACCAGGCTACAGTCTACATTATAGACTGCCAGTACGCTCAGTTTAATAACCATTGCTACAGTCTACATCATAGACTGCCAATACGCTCACCAGCTTAAAAACCAGGTTACAGTCTACATTAGAGACTGCCAGTACACTCACCAAACTTAATAACCAGGCTACAGTCTACATCATAGACTGCCAGTACACTCACTACGATTTAGAACCAGGCTACTGTCTACATTAGTGGTTTTTTGTTTTGTATATTTTTATTTACTTTATTTTTTATTTTTCTATTTACGTGAATTTACTGAAATAACCCAAGAATGACATCCCTCTAACCAGGTGGATTGAGTAAAATATTTGAATATTGAACACAATGGAAGGATTTTGAAAACTATTGAGATGTGACTAAAATATGTCTCTGATCACTTAGTGATAACAGGAAGATGTATCTGATCGCTGGGAAAAGACAGGAAGATTTCTCTAAATATATGTTAAATAATTTGGCACTGCTGGCACAAAATCAAATACCTATGCTCTGAAGACGATTTAGAACCTGTAATGGAAGGGTAAAAAAAAAATTGTTTTATGTGCAGAGTTTTATCTCATCACGTACATTGGCTTCGAAAAGCAGGGACTCAATTCCCAATTCACTTCCTTAATGCAGCACGGGACTGCAGCCAGGAAGTAAATGGCATCCGTATGGTTTCCACAAACACCATTAGATGTGTATGCAAAGATCTCGCGATGAGCACTGTGAAGGTGTGTGGACTATGTTGGACAAGTGCTGCCCGCAAGGATATCTCTTTGAACATATGTATGTATGGTGAACTTCTTTCGCACCATACGTTGCCAACCGTGCTGATCGGAGATATGGGGGAAGGACAACAAACCAAACACAAACTAAACTGGTTACATGGATCACGAAGAGAAGACTGAAAATACGTCTCTGACCGGTGGAATTCCCCGCTGTCCGGACGTCTCTCTGGAGGACGTTCCTCTCCCCCTTGTGGCTCCAGGTCCCATCTTGCTGCGTGCGTGAGTGACCTCCGGTGCCAGCGAGCGGCTGCTCAACTCCAATCGTAGCCCCTGGCACCAACGAGTTCCCCCCCAGGCTCCCCGTGCGCTCCCCGGCCTTCTCCCTCTTCGCCTTTGTCTTAGCCCCCGACGCTCGTCTGCTTGCCGAAACCTTAGACTCCTTCTGCCGCAGGTCCGATGACCTCGCCGACCGCTCACTCGTGCTGGGCTTCTCCGCTCGTGCCTCAGCGCCAACCATCGAGCCTCGAGCTGACACCGGCAGTGGAACATCTGTGGGACCGGCGCCTCGGCTCCGTCTCTCACGTGTGTCGCCTGGTCGGGCGACCCGGCTCGGCGGCTGCGACGTCAGCGTCTTATCTCCTGGCTCAAGGGCAGGGATGGCGGTCGAGCGGTCGGGGGCGATGACGGCGGCGGTGGTTGCGAAGGTGGCATGTTTGGCGGTGGCGAAGTTCACGCTGCCCCGCTCCTCCTTCGTGCTTTCATTGCCGTCGTCGTAGAGCGATACCTGCTTGAGGTACTTCTCCAAGTCGAAGGTGTGCTCCAGCATGCGACTCTCCTCCCCCAGCACGCTGCCACCGCTGGCGCCAAACACGGACGCGCACCATGCAGACACGGACAGAGGCTCGTCCGTTAGAGACGCTGCCGCCGACGCTTCGCAAACGGCCCCAAACGGGGACAGGATGAGCGGTAATTCTGGTGTCACCGATTTCAAAGCATCCGCACCATCATCAGGAGCTTGTGAGCCGGAGCCGGCATCTTGCTCTCTGGGTTTCACACCCGACGGTGCCACCGATGACGATGAAGACATTGATGATGGTGGTGGTGGTACCGTGAGATTTTCACGGGGTTCAACGGAAAGCAGCTGCCTCGAGCCCGGTGCCAGGGGACCCTGGGTGGGACTGGTGACCGCTCCAGGCGGCTGGGCCCGGTGGCCCTTGTTTGAAAGATGCATGATCATGGCCGCAAGCTGCATGGGGTCAGCGTTCAAAGACGCATTGGCGATGGCCGATGCGATGCTGCTGATGTGTAGCACAGATTCTTCAGGGTGGGTGGCCTACACAGACAGAGAGGATGAAAATATTCTTAAGCCCAGTCACAGTCACTTATAAACTCCATCTATAATTTCAATTACAAACTCCAACCTTCATGATAATCTAACCATGAACTCGGACTTAGAGCCCAACCCATAATTCCTCAACCAAAACACAACAGTTAACTTCAATGATAACCACAATCTTAACCATAACCTAACTGTAAACAATATCCAAGGAATATTTTCTCTCCTATCAAAACACAGCACGAAATCAGAGGCCTGTGACACTCATGCTTATCCCAAACCTGAATCGTATCATATAACATACAAAGGACTCTCAACGCCACAAAAAAACTCTTGACAACAGCTGTCAATCCTTATTCTAACCGCTGACCTATAATCCCAACTACAATCCACCCTAAACCCCAACATGAAATCAAAACCACAACCCATGTCAAGGCCAAGCTTACAAACCTACCCTAAAACATCTCTTCCCAGTGTAGCACTGCTTTCCGTTTTGAATTAATCATTGTAAACTGTACATCAATTCAAATCTGTCCCCCTGGATATCTGGAGAGACCATCACTGGCCTGTATTCATCCTAAATGTCCTCTTCAAAAAAGTCACCAAATTACCTAAAGGACCATTCATTTCCCATCTCCCGTAGCCTCAGAAGTGCCTCCAGATTCTGATTGAAAATTACATTTCTTAAAACTCTGTTTGGTTACAAGTCTTTCCGTGTTGCTGCTGCACGTTTCTGGAACACCCTTGCCACTCATATCCCTTCACTATCCATTTTTTTGGGCGCCACAGTGGAAAGATGTTAACTACCTTGCCTGGTATATAGGAGGTTGTGGGTTCGATCCCGACCCTGATGCCTGTATATTTGGAGTTTGCATGTTCTCCCCGTGGTCACATGGATTTTTCTCCATGTGCTCCGGTTTTTTCCCTCCACATTTAGAAACATGATTTTTAGAGTATTTGGCTGTTACAAATTTCCATGTGATAAACCACTTTGTTAAGCAATTATTAAGGGCCAGGTAACCTCTGAAAATTAGATGTATAGCCCAGTGGGCCAAGCCTGGTAAAATTAAAAAAATTGTTTCGTTTATTGTGTTCCTATTTTATCTGAATGCAAAGTTCACTTGCGTCTGTACCCAATGTTTTCTGGCACCTCTTGCTCTCACATTGTTTAGTTTTTTTCAACTGTTAAATCCCTCGCGTTTGTTTGTTGCGCAATATTCCTTGAGAAACCTGTCGTCGTTCTTTGCACTTTTTATGTTTTTGTAATTTGAGCAGCTGTGTGCTCATGCACCACAGATATCCCTTATTAAATAGCCAGCCAATTGGCAAAATGGAATCATCCGTGTAACAAATCAAATCAACTCAAACGCTGATAAACTCAAACACAACTCAAACAATAACCGAAATTTTAACCTCTAACACCAATCACAACTCTAACCCTCGCCCAATGACTGTGTTTCCCCCCCCCCCGTCTCACCGCTCCATCCCCCTTCTGTCCTTGCTCGCGCCCAGACGCGCCACGCCGCCCGGCCTCCTTACTCGACGGTGTTGGAGCCGGCGACAAAAGCACCGTCTGCGACGGTATAGGCGCCGGTGACACCGCCTCCTCCACCGATACTGAGCACAGAAGAATGATGAGGGTTGAGTGCAGCTGTTGTTGAGAGGCTTTCCTCTGGCAGTGTGAAGGACGCCTTAAGAGATAGATGATTGCTAAAATCAAAACTCCTCTTAAGCCTGGATCGCACGTAGGCGATGTCTGTTACCGACACCATCGAAAGGTCAAATGACTTGCGCTTGGAATCAGCGGTGGAAATTTCACACTCGCACGACAGTGGGCAGCCCCCCACTTTCAGGACAACAATACTTTAAGAGTGGTATACAATTGATCGACCCCAGAAGAAAGATGAATTGGGATTGCAAGTTAAGGGTCTAAACAGAGCCACCTGGTCGGTTACATACACGAGTGACAAAAATAATAAGCAATTTTAGACGATTTGTTCATCCAAGAAATCCTCACCTAATGTCCATATACTTTTTCAGGTCTGCAAATCCATGAACTTCGTAACTTGTTTCATATGAATACACAGCCAATTACCATGTTTGAATTTCCTCAGTGCACTGCAGTCTCATTCAGACAAGTTAATTTTGTCTTATCAATCAAGTCAGGATTGAATCTTTGGTGGGGAGTCAGTCATTGTCATGCTGGATGATTTTTGTCCACTCGCTGTCATCATTCACTTCAAATAATTCACACTGTCGATGATTAATTTAATCACCGATTCTGTCAACAAAATGAACACTGACCGGGAAACAAGGTGAGCTGTGCGCCATCTCCACTGTCCCCGCCGTCGTCCGGCCCATCCTGCAGCGTTCGCTCGGCGGTGGCGTCTGAGCAGCAGGACGACGCGTCCGACATGCGGAGCAGCGCAAATGGCGCTCGCCTCTCGGGGGACACGATGTCATAGCCAAATGACGGCTACGGGAGTACGGACAGACGCACAGACACGGAGTGTAAACATGGTCAGCAACAACTGCCATTCGCCACTAAGTGGTGGTAATGTCACCATGGCGCTTGTGCCAGGCTATGTGCACGTTAAGGCCACGTGAAGTGTCGAATGCCCACTGGCAGGTCAGTGATGGGACAGACCCAGGTGCCATGGGTCGACTGACTGAGATGACTGGTAGATGCACTACCTGTGCCCTTCTACTGTACCAACTTGTAAAATTTTAGCCACCTGGTGCTCCGTTTGTTGTTGTGAGCGTCGCTCCTCTGCCCTCGAAGTCATATTGGGCAGTCTGCGCATAAACACCACCCACCCTCTCAGCATTTCGCTTGGGAGATAATTTCTGCTTCGTGCTTTTCCTCATGTTAGACTCTGGATCGCCTTCTGTACTTCAACAGATGACACTTCAGCCACACTCACAGGGGGTGGCACCGTAACCTCAGCAGGATCATCCCCACTTTGCCGCGTGATGTTTTCCAGGCTGAGGGATTCCCCCCCCCACCACCGACCTCACAGAAATGTCGGACATCAGATCATCATTTTTTCCCCTAATGATGGTGATAGGTGTGGCACTACAAGTAACTTTTTGGATGGAATTAAAGAGTGATTTGTGATCGAGGGCTCCCGGAGGCAGACTCCATCTCCTTAGCAACCCGCGATCACCACCCAGCCTTGCAGCGCCGTACGGCTCTACGAACCCGCATTTTCTAACGTGGGATAATATAGATGGTGAGAGTGGATTCAGTCTCCTGGTTCTGCCAAAGTCCCCTCGGGGCCTCCGGCACAAGCTTCGTTTTACATTTTTACGTAGTTTAGTGATAAATAATAGAAATAGGGTCACACACACACGTGGACCGTAAACAGGGTCACACACAGACACGGGCCATAAATAGGGTCACACACAAACACATAGAAACATGGACGCACAGAAGCAGATACACTGAAGCGACAATTTTAATTATTATTTCCAGCCCTTCATAAATTCACTTCCGGATGAAGGTCTCCTCACACCATTTCAGTCATTGGGGTTGTTTGACAATACTTGACCACATTGGTCAGTGTGAATTGGTGAAGAATGTGGGGAAGGGCAGGAAATTAAACTTCCATCACCATGTCCATAGTGCAGTGTGTACTAATGCCTGCGTTCCACCCCTTAAACCAGGAACAGACTAGGAGTTCCAAATAGATTTGGTGGGCCACGCATTAACATATACCTTAGTCACTTTTATCAGTAAAGAGGCCGTTGCCGTGCCAGAAGTGCCTGAGCGTGCTAGCCTAGATGGTGTTGTCAGGTCGAAAGCACGCGTCTAGGACCAGAATACATTATTAGTGTGATCAAGATGCTGGCAGTGTCAGATAAAAATCATTTGCAGGAAAGTTCAACGTGGCAGGCCTCAACTGACTGTGGGCCGTAAAGCTCCCTACGTCTACCTAAGAAGCCACATTAATCAAAACCGTAATTGAAACGTGCCAGTCAGCAGCACCTCCACTCTCTGCCCCTGCCGGCACTCACCCTCATGGAGGACGGCGCATTGCCCCAGAGCGAGCCCAGCGCCTCTGAACGCTGGCGGATGAACGTGCCAAGCGAGAGTCGCATGTAGGCGTCGCCCTCCTCTTCGTTGCCACTGCCGTCTGGTGCCAGCGAGGCCCGCAGCTGCATGTGGCTGTCGGGCAGCAGGCGCCATGACGAGTCGCCCATGCCCAGTGTCACATCGGCCAACGTCGCCGCAGCTGCTGTGATATCGCCAACACTATCGGCGGTGGTCGGCACCGTCGCCCCCTCGCACGTCTCTAGCTGCAGGCACCACCGCAACAAGTGGCGGTTAAAGGATGACGCAACCCAGACCAAAATAAAAAAAACTCTACCCAAGAATTATACGGGTCGCGGATTAAACCCTGCTTGCGAACAAATGAATTAAGTATGTTTACGCAAGCTGGTATATATAATGAGCAGCTCTTCACTTACTGATGGTTAGTTACTGTAAACGTGTAAACAAGTTAACCGTTTGCCAATTACTTTAAGTTGCCCCGGTGTTGGCACCACGTAGCATTGACGAGCGCCGCGCCTGGCGCCTGACATTGCGCGCTGTGCCTTGCCGGGAATCCACACCGCAGTGCCACTGCTGCTGCTGCTTCCCCCGTGGGTCAGTCAATCTCCAATTTAATTCACACACTTCGCTTCTCCCCCTTCAACTCCACTGGCTTCCCGTTTACTACACCGCTGTCTTTTCAAATACCTTACACTGGTCTATACATCTCTCCATGGCCTTGCCCCACCTTATCTCATCTCTCTCATCTCCTTCCATATCCCCTCCTCTTCGTTCCCAATCTAATTTGTCTCCCTCTGTCCCTCCTTCTCCCTGTGCACAATCTCGTTTGATTCTTCTCCCTGCTTGCACCCCTTCAATGGAATCAACTTCCCCTATAAATTAAGCAGTCCCCCCTCCTTAACCTCCTTCCGTTCCTCATTTAAAGCCTCACCTCTTCTCCATTGCCCATTCCCTTCCTCTTCCCTCCCCTCGCCCCTTCACTCTGTCCCGTCCCCCCCCCCCGTAGCGCTTTCGTGACTCCCATGTGCCCTCTGTTGCAGTCACTCATTCCTCGGCCCTTGCACACCCCCAATTTTTACTACTTTTTAAACTATGTTAAGCGCCTTGAGCTAAGGCGCTCTATATATATAAAATTAGACAAGACGTGCTACAACTCCCCCATATCACTCAATGCCAAAAGAAAATATAAGCGTATAACTGTAGCGACACAACGAGACGATACCTGCGTAAAAGGGTTCTCCTTGAGGAAGGCCTCCTCATCAGCGTTCATGAGTGCAGCCACATCATCTGCTCGTGAAGACAGTGGGGTCAGTGGTGGATCTCCAGGCACTGAGACACCGCAGTATTGTGTTGCTACATTTCATGTGCTCACTCACTGATCCACCCTATATCATGATGGTACAATCCAAATGCTCACTCACCGAAATAACCCCATAACGTCATGGTACATTCAACGTACTCACTCATCAATCCACCCTATATAGAGATGGTACATCTCCGATCCGCACACCTCCGATTAGCATGGTTAGCTATGTATGTAAGTTCAACACACCTACATACACTCCGTGTGCCCATTCACTGATCCACCCTATTCAGAGTTGGTACATTGCATGTGCCTACTCACTGCCAGAGATGAAGTCGCCGTCATTGGAGGTGGCGTGAGCAAGGCCCCCGTACGTGTCTGTGAGCGTGTCCAGCGGCGTGAAGAATGCCAGGTCAGTCACCCACTCGCCTCGTTCGTCCTGGTAGACTACGCCCGGACACACATCTGGGCCTGCAACCACAAGGACAAGGGAGCCCCCTCTACATCACCACTACTCGTACTCAATGCGTGTACAAAATCAATGGTACATAGACTGTTGGGACAAGTGCTGTTATGGAGTGCCTGTGAAAGCCAGCACGACACAGTGGGGTGGTGTGGTGAGCACCATATCTGAGTTCCTTTGGCTCCCCAGCGCTGGTGCTTACCCATCGCAACCAGGATTTCATTTAAGGCCGAGTTGACAAATGCACACAGAGCACAAACATCCAGGAGACAAACACACATGCAGCACTCCCGTGTTTTGCCTGCATACCCGACCACACTTGTACTCACCCCCGTGTGCCTGCTCCTCTTTAATCCTGGTCCAGTCCCCCCCTCCCTGTGGTGGTCCGATGTCCGAGCGAAACAGCGACGTAGATGATACAGGTTCGACTTCCGTTACGTCTCCGCTCACTCGGCCACCGAGCCGCGCGGTGGAATTCGGCAGGAGGTACATGGAGTCGAGACCTTCCCCCTGGACCTCGTCGCTCTCATTGCTGTCGCGAGCCTCATCGCTGTCGTTCTCCCCCTCTGCCTCTCCTTCTCGCTCTCCGCACGCCAGCCGCTGCAGCATAATTCACACGTTAACCCCTCCCTGTTCCGAGACGTCTGCAAGTTGCAGGGTGGGTTCCCGTTTACTTAGAATCTCGAAACGCACAAGCGGTTCAGCATTCAATTTATTTAGAGGCGTAGCGCCGCTGTTTTTAAAGACATAGTACTCACCGCAGAAACTGCAGCAACACGACCGTACTCTATGATTGCTGGCGCCAAATTCTGCCATATGCCCTCCTGCATGGCCTTTCACTTCCAATTCCGTTCCGATGACGTATGTTTCGATGACGAAATGTAAGTCATCGGAATGGAATTAGAATAAGAATGATGTACAAATACGTACACATGTAATTAGAATGGGAAAGGGTTAACTGTGTTCGTTACAGTTGGGGTAGTGATAAGCACTTGGCCATTACAAGCCAATGGCACTACCAGGATTCATGGCTAGAGCTCGAAGTATGTGGGGAGGGACAAGGCAATTGCAGTGTAAGCCTCGTCTAAGTTAAACCCTCCATCAGGGGACCATGTTGAGTAAACAAAAATTATTTTTTTATTATAGCTGCGAGTGTTGCTTGGGTGTAGTACGAGTTGTCCAAATAATCCTAACCCTATCCGACCACCCACCAGTCGCAAACTTCTCACCGAACCTAACCCTAACCAACAAGGTAGGCAACCATCCACGAGTACGAACTCTCCCCCTGTAACCTTAACCCAGAACCCTCGGCCACACCTACAATGCCGAGAAAACGTTTGTGAACCCCAATGATAATTATGGAAATTCCATAGTTTTACCATGACAGCCTTCTTGAATCAAACCAGTCTTTTCTTAAATATCCAATAGGGTTTATATTAAACAATTCCATGTCTTTTGAAACAAAATGATGTACGAATTAAACAGACAATGAGTAATTAAGGTTCAGGGTATTGAAAAAGTAAGTAAACCTCTGATTTTGGGACCTCCTTTGCCAGTACTAAAATATGAGAATAGGTTTTCCCCTTTTGGCGTCCTCTGCTTTAACACCATTTGAGACGAGGCTCGAAAGAAAGCTGTCTATGGTGTGGACCAATCAGTTTCAAAGACAATGCATAAATTATCAGAGTATGTGTTTTGTTTGCATTCAGACATGATTCCTTGTAAAAGGTTTCAGCTTGGTGTTTTAACATCTTAACACCTATATTCTTAGTTTTTTCGGTAAAGTCACGTTGAAGAGAAACAACAAAATAACAAAATATATATAAAACAATAAAAAATTCTCACGACGTTTCGACCATAACACAAACGGTCATCATCAGGTGTGAAAACCAACGGCAAGACACATTTGAAAGAAGTGGTGGTTTGCATTTATTTATTTTTAAACTGTGTTTGTATTTATTTATTTTTTAAAAAAGTTAGCACCACGGGCAGCGATTTGGCAGTTTGTTTAGAAGGACGAGTCCATCTATGTTCTGAAAAAAGGAGGGGGGAGACGAAAAATTAATGTATGCTGTCTGAAAGCCACCGTAAGCGTGAACAATCAATTAAGACCTGACATAGTTTATCAAATCCTTCCAATGATTGCTAAGCCAGAATCCATCTTCTCGGTGAAATTGTCTCTGTGCTTGTATATGTGGATAGCCTCATGAACGAATCTCTCATGGTAGCCAGATGGCTTACAAAGAACCTCTGTCTTGGAGAAGTCAATGTCATGTGAGCCTACTGAATTATAACAATGATCTGCCACGGCCGAGGTTTTGGTCCTACCGTGTTTAAGGTCTGCTTTGTGTTCACGAATGTGGTCCCCTTTTTTATGTTGCCATAAAAAAGGGGAAAACCTATTCTCAAACCCCTACTCAGTCCGAAATGGGTTAAAACTAATTTCTAAGGATTTGGGGCACTACCAATCCACTGTTAGACAGATAGTCTACAAATGAAGAAAGTTCAAGACCAGAGTCATTTGACCTAGTAGAGGTCGTCCTACCAAAATCTCTCCAAGAACAAACTGGAAAATCATCAGTGAAGTCACAAAGAACCCCAGAGAAACATTCAAAGATCTGCATGTCTCAACTATCAGAAAAAGACTGAACAAAAATGGCATTCATGGAAGGATAAGCAAGGAGAAACCACTGCTCTCCAAAAAGAATATTGCTGCCCGTGTGAAGTTTGCCAAAGAGCACACAGATAACCCAGAAGACTTCTGGAACAATATTCTCTGGATAGACGAGTTAAAGGTAGAACGTTTTGGCCTCAATGAGAAATGTTATGTTTGGCAAAAACCAAACTCTGCTTTCGAACAGAAGAACCTCATCCAAACCGTGGGAATGTGACGGTTTGGAGATGCTTTGTTGCCTCAAGACCTGAACGGCTTGCCATCATTGACACAAACATGAAGTTTGCATTATATCAGAAGGTTCTAGAGAATGTCAGGCCATCTGTTCGTGAGCTGAAGCTGAACCGAAAATGGGTCTTGCAGCACAAAAATAATCCTGAACAGAAAAGCAGATCTACAAAAGAATGGCTGCAGAAGAAGAAATTCCATATTTTACAATGGCCTAGTCAAAATCCGGACCTAAACCCCATTGAAATGTTGTGGCAGGACCTGAAGCAAGCTGTCCATGTGGAGTGAACGACTTCCGACACACGTCTAGTAGGCTTCTTATTTATTAAGAGCACACAGGGCAATACACTTCGTAACTCGGCTACACCTAGGCTGTCCAAACACACAGCCCATCTCCGTTCCTGCGCTACGCTGGCTGGTTGACGAGCGTAGCGGCGGCGACGGAGCTGGTCTGGCAGAAGAACAGCCACGTGGTCGAAGACGAAGAGATGATGATGGCAGTAACGCAACCAGGACCCAGACCCCACACTACTATCTGCCTAGCGTGGCCAAGCTCCACCTCTGGCCACGCCCCCTTTCCAGAACCTTCGGGTTGGTTCCCGGAGCTTCTCGACTGACTCCGCCCTTGATCTTTATCCCAGATACGCCCCTTCATAATAAGACATTATGTAATGCAGCTATAACCGTAATTAGTCCTACAGGTCGGCAGGTGTCACCCTGTCATTACACATGCAAGGCAAACCTCAAATATCACCGAGTTGAAGGCGTTCTGTAAAGAGGAATGGGCCAAAATTCCGGAAACCCGATGTGAGAGACTGACCAACGGTTAAAGAAAATGCATAGTTGCAATCATTGCTGCTCAAGGATGTATCACCAGTTACTGAATCTAAAGGTTCACATACTTTTTCACATGTAGTTATTGATGTTGAATCGTTTGAGGATGAATAAATGTTTAAAGAGTACCATGTTTTTGTGTCATTCGATTAATCAGGTTATCTTAATCTATTATTAGGACTTAGATTAAGATCTAATAACATTTTAGGTTTGAAATATGTAAAATGTGAAAATCCTAAGGGGTTCACAATTTTTTCTTGGCACTGTACAAGAAGGTCCCACCAATAATATTGTTTTATCTTTTTAGTGGTGATGTTCGCATTGTTCATTTAGTTTCAAGTGGTGGAAAACCACCTCTGTCTCTACCCCAGGTATCTCCTTTGCCACTGCAAGCGTTGGGCCAGCCCCGGCCATCACCTGCGAGTGAAGCGATCCCCAGGGCGTGGCCTGCGTCCTCACTTCTCCCCCAGCCACGCTGCGCGTCAGCAGACAAGGTTCCGGCGGAGAGGTATCAACGCCCCAACCTCCGTTACCATCACCGTGTTCCCTCCCTCGTGCCTCGCCACTTTCTCCGCTCCCTGAACAACAAAACGCGTACAGCCCGGCCGTTAGCAGTGAGGTTTAATACCACAATGGGTTAAAACTAAAGAAGTGCGAGGCAGCAATGATCCCTCGGCCAGCAATGGAAATGTCGCATTCCGAATACAGGGGTCAGTTTTCCCTTAGTATGACCTCCGTCTTACCGAGGGGAAATGGACACCACTGGCTCAGATCTGTCAGTGCCAACCCAATGCTCATTCAATCAAGGGAAACGCTTCGACTTGGCTTTGAGTTGTAGCGCAATGTTCGCGGATGGCCTAGGCTGGTGAAACAGTGTTCATGTCCTCTGGAGCAGGGCTTCTTTTACTTTGGCCATGGCGACCCACTAAAGGTCTGCCGCCTTTCCATGTATACACCAGTCTTCTCCGTTCAAATACAAATCAAGTCAATGGCCAATGCGTGTGCCTCACTTTTGCGAAACTATACATCCAAGTGACAGATAGTGTCCCTCAATCAGAGCTCTATATCACCTGGGACAACAAAAATCCATCAGCCTTATAACCTTCACAAACTTTTGGGACAAGTGCTTTAGTGAGCACCTAAACGGTACACGAGGGGGTGTGTGGCCAGCACCACGCCCGACCGCCTTTGTCTTGCCAGTGGTGATGTTTACACACCGGCCGAGTCAACCTAGGAGAGGCCCAGGACTGTTTCAGATATTCGTCACTGGTGTTGGCTTGTGAATCGAACCCAGGTACATACCGCAGCACACCAACCTTTGCACTTCCATTCCCAACTGGGACAAAGATCCCCCGTATAGCCTTAACAGAATGTTGGGGCAAGTGCTGTTAGAGAGCACCTATGAAGGCCTACTGGGACACACACTTACACACACATCTCTCAATTCAATTCAGCAGTGTTTAGAATCACCCTGAATGTCTGTCGCAACCATTAGGCATCTATAACTTATAACTCCTTAATTTGTATTTAAACGGAGGTAAATTGGTAAACGTGGAAAAAAATGTCTGGCAATGTTGGGCTGCGCGGACCAGAGTGTGAAACCTTACAGTAGAAGGCATCTACCTGCATCAGGTGAGGCGGCACGGTGCCAGCCCTCAGCCGAGCTGCGGGGCTCCATGGCGGCCGCCTCCATTAGTCCGGTGCTGCCACAAGCCCTCGGGCGGCCGTCACGCTCCGCCTCATCCGAGCTGCCTCCCTCCAGACCTGGCCGGTTGCACACCTGGATGGGGACGATAGCATAATCAATAATCATCAATTAATAAATCAATCAATCCTCATCCATCATCATCCATCATCAGCACGACAATCACCAAAGGCACCATTATCGTAAGCAGCACAATTACTGTAAGTAGCACCATCACCATTGGTAGTATTGTCGTCAGCAACACCATCATCATCATCAGCAGTATCACGTTGTATTATAATGGAGGTGCCATCACTTGCCAAGAGAGCACCGTTGGTGTCCACACGACGGACAGGAAAGTCCATGCCGCCAACGACCACGTCATCAAATTCGTGATCGTTATCGGCCTTGTCATATTCGTCATCGCTTGTGTGAGCACAGTCCCTGCCCGCGCCAGCCACTCGCCTGCGTGGTATCTCAAATGCATCCTACCCAGGCACACATACAGACAACAACAAAAACACAAGGCACAGATGCATTATTAGCCACAATGCTCATGTATAACTTTGTAGAGTGTATGTGTGCAAGCTGAAGGCAGAGCAACAACGCTGACCACAATGAGCAGAGTGGTGGTCAGTTACAACACAGCGAGTTGGCACAGCAGAAAGCGCAGGTGTTACATATGACAATCTTCCAAATCTGTTCAAACACATAGTATCTCAAGGTGTTTCTAACCTCGCACGAACATCGTGCAAAAACCTAAATGTAGTAGCAAATAGCAACTGCTGCACGCGTATTTCGTTGGGCATTGTGCTACCATCACAACGATATTATTCCTGCCATGAAAGTCATTAGTGCCACATGGTATTTCAACCCCCCAAACCTGCCCCCTCGGGTTGACTCCGCCTTTAAGGAGTACCTGGGTACAATGTGAAATTATCGCAATAGACAGCTTGGTGAGCGCATTGTGCTAACAGTCTGAAGAGGGTGTGGTTCTTTATTCACTTGATTATGCTAGCTTCACCAAAAGCACATCTCCTCTCCGAACATTCATTATCTCTCTTTGGTTCTTTCGGTAAAGTCACGTAGAAAATAAAATCAAATAGTAATAGAATACGACGTTAAGGTTGCAACACAAGCAACCATCATCAGGTAAGAATGAATGATAAAACACAGACATGGAAACAACACAGGCAGACACACATGCAGAGAGACACACACAAAGACACACACCAAGACAAACAGAAGAAAGAACCAAAGAGTAATTCCTGCAGTCACGAAAGGTTCCAATCAAATGTATTCATTATATCGTCCTTATGGTGCTATACGCCTGTTCATATTGATCATCTTTATTTTAGTTTTTTAAGCACTATCGTTGCCTGTAACTCTGATGCGCGATGGTTGGTGCCTATTCTCTGACACGTTATGTTAGATTGTTGCCTGTACCTCCGACGTGTTATGTTATGTTGTTGCCTGTAACTCTGATGTGTTATGCTACGTTGTTGCCTATTTTGACGCGTTATGTTACATTGAGGTCTATAAAGCTGACGCATTATGTTACGTTATTGCTTGTTCCTCTGCACAGATTACATCATTGATAATGTTGTTCTTGTTTTGTGCTGATGTACTACGGATCTCCCTTGCAAACTCACTGGGTAAGCGGCAAAACAGGACATTCAGTGTAACAAATGCACATGGATTGATAAACAGGTACTCACTAACAGCCACTACATTCCATAGGGTCATAGCGAAGATGTTTGTCCTTGTGGGTGACCACTTCATCCACCTATATGTCATGTCAGCCGAAATATTTTTTCTGAAAATAGTAGGGATTCCTCTTCTGTTTACAAGCCTACATGAGAGATAAAGTTGTTTTTCTATTGTATATGCGAAAGCTTCTACTTGCAATGAAATGAGCGAATGTTGAAAAAATGAGAATGACTTTTATGAGACCTCCTTTGCCAGAAACAAGATATAGGAATAGGTTTTTACCCTTTTAACTGGCACAAAACAAACATGATGCCTTGAATAAAGGTGTCAGTTTTTGTGCCAGTTAAAAGGGTAAAAACCTATTCCTATAATGAGAATGACTGTCGATCAGTTCAAATTGACACGCAAGTCAAAAGCACACAGACCACACTCACACACACAGACCACGTGCAAACAGGCCACACAAGCAGACAAGCCATGCGTACACAGGCCACGAGCACACAGGACACGAGCACACAGGACACGAGCACACTGGCCACGAGAACACTGGCCACACACACAGACCATGAGCGCACAGGCCACACACGCAGACAGGCCACGCGCACACAGACCGCACAAGAAGACAGGCCACGCGCACACAGGCCACGTGCGCAGACGGGCCACGCGCACACACAGGCCACACAAACATACAGGCCACGAGCACACAGCCCATGAGCACATGCACACAGGCCATGAGCACACAGGCAATACGCGCAGACAGGCCACATACACATGTGATTTCGCACACAGGCCACGCACACACAAAACACACACGCACAGGCCACGAGCATACAGGCTACACACACACGCCATGAGCACACAGGCCACACACACAGGCCATGAGCACACAGGCCACACACACGTACACAGGCCATGAGCACACAGGCCACACACACGCACACAGGCCATGAGCACAAAGGCCACACACGCGCACACAGGCCATGAGCACACAGGCCACACACGCACACAGGCCTCGAGCATACAGGCCACATACACACAGGTCACGAGCACACAGGGCACACACACACAGGCGATGAGCACACAGGCCACACACACACGCATACAGGCCATGAGCACACAGGCCATAAGCACACAGGCCACACACGCAGACCACAAGCACACAGGCCACAAACACACGGGCCACACGCACACGGGCCACACACGCACAGGCCACGAGCATACAGGCCACACACGCACACAATCCACACACACGCACACAGGCCACACACACACACAGGCCACACACACACAGGACATGACCGTACAGGCCACACATACATACAGGCCACACACGCATATAGGCCACATACGCACACAGGCCACACCCACACAGACCACACGCAAACAAGCCACAAGCATACAGGCCAAGCACTTATTAGGTTGAGGTGCGGCAGGTGGAGGCACGCAGCAAGGATGCACGTGAGGCACAGCACACATGAACACATGCGTGTACACACAGGTGCGCACACGCACAAGCCCACACGCGCACACTCACCTTCACGAGCATCGTACACCCTCCTCCTACTCACGATCCACGCAGCCGCAAGGGGAAATTTAAGAATAAATCAGAGAGGCTCTGAGAGAGTATTCGTCTATTCCCAGAGCCTCTTGCAATCCAAAGAGCAAATGTGAATGCAACCCAATTATGTTTTAATTTAAAAAAACAAACGGATATTTGTTTCGCTTTGTTGCCGTGTCGTATTCTTCAAGACTCTCTTTAAAGTGCACGCAGCTTGCCACATCGTATTTGCAGCTCTTTCTCGGTATGTTTGTAACTTTAGTTTCGTTTTATAGTTTAGAACTCACAAGTTAAACCCTGCAAGTTTGACTTCTGGTGCATGAGACTGCCACACTTTCAAAATACCGGTGCGAGCTTAACCAAAACAAGGAAATGTATTAGAAGATGGATTCATTTTGTTAATACCATGAGGTATGTCATGTTGTAATTGTTAACACTATTGTAAGCTATCACAGTGCCAGTGAGTTATTGAACTCATTTCTATAGTTTTCCCCTTTTGAGAGTGAAACCCTCTTTTGTCGATTGCTCAGTACCTGGAACAGCGTCGCCCCTAACGCAGGTGTCGGCTTGTAGCCGCCCCCCTTCACAGGACCCACAGCCCCAAGCCAGGGCGGCTCTCGGAGGGACCCTGCTGTCGCCAGCCCTTGCCCCTGCAGCCGCCCCTCCAGCTGCTGTTGCTCCTGCTGCTGCAGGAGGCTACGGATGTCATCTTTGGAAAACTCGTATTCCTTGAGTTCCTCGAGTTCCGGGTCATCGCCATTGCCATCTCCATCCCCATGCTGCTGCAGCTCGTTCTGCTCAAAGCTGCAGAGGCTGTCATCGGGGGCGCTGGATGGAGATGCGAGCAGCCTCTGGATGTCGGTCTAAGAAGAGAAAAACGTATATACGTAAAAACATCTTGCTGGGTTCCTGGTCAAGCTGTGTCTCAAACACAAGCTTCAGTTTGTGGATGAATCTCTCTTTATATTGCGTGTATACTGGCTCTCTGATGCCCTGGTGTAAAGGTCCCTCTTGAAAAATATATTATTCAAGAGATGTTAATCAAAGCATCAGTGAGGTTTTACCTGTGCACGTAGCTCTGTCCCAGGAACCATTCTGTCGGTCAGCGTCATGAGCCCACATGAGAGGTCTGGCAGAATAAATAACAACATTAATGTGCATTCCTCAACCAATAAAGTCTCAAAAGGGTTCAACACGAGAAGTTTTCCCAATTCCTTTTCAATGTCTGTGTCCTTGAGAAAAGCGGCATACCTGGGAGGGGGATAACACTTGAAAATCGGCACAAACATGACACAAATCCACTTTCTATACTGCCAACTCTCTTGGCCACTTGTAGTGCAGCAGGCCGGGAGATTCACAAATCCACATGATCCAACAGCCCTTCTCTCAAGGACACTGCATTCAAAATTATGCTCCCATGCCCAGCTTTAGAGTTACAGATTCCTTTACACAGAAATACCCTGATTTACGTTGGGGATGTGTTCCTGAGAGGTGCGGCGACAAATATGGAAAAGACGTAAATCATGACTTAAAGCTTTCGTGACTGCAGGAATTCATATTCTTTGGGTCTTTCGGTAAAGTCAGGTGCATAGGTTCAAAGAAAATAACAAAAAACTACGACGTTATCAGCGGTTGTCATCAGGATGTGTTGCAATCGAAATGTCGTAGTTTTTTGTTATTTTCTTTGAACCTATCTATGTGACTTTACCGAAAGACCCAAAGAAGATGTAAATCATAGCGATTTATAGGGTAGGTGGTGAAGGCTGAGAGGCGATGGATACGAGAGAGGGCGAACGATGCTGTCAGCAACATAAATGTGGCTTGAGGCGACGCAAATCGGACCGCGGTGTTAATAATAAAGTGACGATATATTTGCAAAAATACGTAGAAGGGGGAACATAAATTGGGTTATTACTGTACTGAGATATGGTCATAACCAGTCCAAGTCACATTAGACTCAGTTTGGGAAAGCTTTGCAGCCCAATACAGACTGATAAGAAGGGTCTCGAATATTCCAGGTGAGTGACCAGGAAGTACAGCAAGAAATAAGATGCCCGGGTGGCTGGCTGGGGGTCTCAGAAAGCTCACAATGGCCATGCAACGATGGTGCAGAAACCCCGGCATCACTGATATCTTGACATTAAATCGATCGTAGTTTAAATTACCAATAATTAAGCAAATCTCTCAGGTGTGGAGAGTCGATGGTCCCAGTCTTGTTACTAAGGACGCCACAAAAAAGTTTGATTTAAAACGAAAACGTTTAAGTGGCTGGTGGCGGTGGGCAATTTGTGGTGGTAAGCACACTAAGCTATGAAGCTCGTGACCCGAGTTTGATTTAAGACCACAGCTAATGTCAGTTGTGAGTGACATCTGAAACGGTCACGAGACCCACCCCTTTCACATAAGCGCAATGACCAGCACGGTGAGGCAAGGTCAAAAACCCCCATGCCTAACATGGCGTGGGGAAGCGTTGATTCAGCAGTGGATTGACAATTGGTCATCCAGTAATCCAAGATAAATGGAGATTTAAAAAATACAGAGATACATGGTGGAATAAAACCTAAGGGCCTACTGTGGCTAACACCTGTGGCTGATTAAATAAAACCCAAATATAATTTTCCTTTTGTTTTCCCTTCAACGCAATACAAGCGAGCAAAATAAAATGCTCAACACCATTTTGCGAGCGGCCACTGAGCCAACAATCATCTCGCATCGGCAGCCTCACGCCCTCCCTCCCCTTTTTTCCATGGGCCAACGCTCTCTCACCATCCACGAGATCAAGAGGCAGGAGGCCCAGGGAGGTGTCGCCCGTGGTTTGGCCGCAGTTGCCCGCACTGGGCTCTCCATGCAGTGCCATGAGGCGGCAGGAAGCAGGGGGCGGTAGTGGTGGCGATGGCGGTGCCAGGGGCCTATGACAGCTACCGTGAAGCCTGCCGGCCTCCAGCTCGACTGGCAGCAGCATCTCGGAGAGGCGCAGCGAGGCGAGGTCGTCCGCGTCACTTCTGATGGCGACACCGTCACAAACACCGTCGTTGTTAGACATGCGAGGAATTCAGACTCATGACTCGCATATTAAACTGTCCATGTACGAATCAATGATTTACAATTTATAGTTATTTTCAAAATAACATGAACAATACTGTATTAAAGAGAATTTTAAAGAAAAAAATCTGATATACTTATTTACGAAGTGGGGAGGATGTTACATGCCCAATCGTTACCACCTCCATTTGCACCAAAACACTTGCACACAACGAAGCACAGACTGCTTTAGCTTTTCATTAAGGGTCTCTCCACTCCAAGACAAATAAGTGACATTGTCCAGCTGAACTTTATTCTGCAATTTACACAGTTACAAGGCTCCCTTGCAAATAGTAAAATGCTTCCACTATGTGAAAAGTCGTGCGTTTATAGCGTAACATTGCAAAACGCATATGAACGGGTTGCGTTCCCTCGTTTGTAAGTCGAACGGGTCATCAGTCGGAACACCATAATGTACCGTATCTAAATGCACATATGGTCACTGTTATAAAATGTGTTATGGTTCAACAAAACAGGGAAGCCATTTCACAGAAGGCGGGAACGCCATCGCCGCTGCCCACGCTCGCGGGTGCCATTTTGCCGCCGGTGGGGAGCGCTTAGCCCACCAAGCTTGAAGAGGAGACGTCCTCGTCGATTGACATCCAGTCGCTCCGCCATCAACTGCCCTTCATTAAATAATTTGTTGCCGCCAGCGGCGAGTCGCGGTACACCTCACTCGGCCCCGGGGTTCACTTCATCCATTGGGGGGGTCCGATTTGCGTTGGGGTCGCGCGCGGTTTCGAGGGGAGTCGGTGCGTGTTCGCGACGATGTACGGACTGCGTATACTGCATATACTGCATATACCGCATTGCACGACATCGTCGATTATTTGTACCACTGTGAATGGTGTTTTGCTCTTGAGTTGGGTGACTGAGCCCCGTGGAAATCCCGTGGTTGAGGTTGTGAGGGATTTTGGATTGACGGGTTCAGTGTATTACGAACTTACTGGTTTGGTTCCTGTCCGTTGTTGCTCGACAAACGAGAAAAAAAAAATGTTTTTTTGTGCGAGGGTGCCAATTAGGTTCTATGTAGATCAAGGGTGCGTGGGGCTGTAAATTGCCGCAAAATGGCGTCGCTCTCTCCGCTCGATTGCGTGCAGCCATACTACTATAGAGTCGATAGATACTACTATAGAGTCAGTAGATACGACTACAGTCAGTAGATACCACAACGGTTAGTAAATACTGGAACGCTATCCCTCTGCACATTCGCAGCATCACCTCAATCGCCTCCTTCAAAAGACACTTAAAAACTCACCTCTATAACCATGCTTTCGAGCGACTCTGAGCTTGGCTCTGTGCCTCTGAGTTGCGGCCGTTACGTCCGCAAATTTGTGCGCGTTATAAATCACATTATTATTATTACAGTCAGTAGATACTACTATCGAGTCAGTAAATACTAATGTAGAGTTAGTAGTTACTACTATAGTCAGTGGATACTACTATCGTCAGTAGGTACGACTATAGAGTCGGTAGATGCTACTATAGAGTCGGTAGATAATGCTACAGTCAGTAGATCCCACTACAGTCACCAGATACTGCTGCAAGGTCGGTAGATACGACTATAGTCAGTAGATACTGCTGCAGTGGTACCTCGGTATACGTCGTTAAATTCGTTCCAGAAGGTAGGACTTATACCGAAAATGACGAATACCAAACGAATTTTTCCCATAAGAAATAAAGGGAAAGGAAATAATCCATTCGAGAGTGTAAGAAATTATATTTTATATGGCATATTATACATTAATGGAGTTGTATACAATAATATAGACAATACTTATTACTAAAATGCATACATAAATTTAAATAAATGCATAAATAAATTGAAATAAAAATACAATTTAACATCACTTTACCTTGATGAGGAGTTGATAGCCTACGAGGATGGTGGTGATTAAGGGGAGGAGGAGGAGATGTTATTTTTTTGAAGGAGAGTCCCCTTCCATTAAAACTTCAGGAAGCTGAAATTATGGGGGTTTTTCTCTCTCTTTTCTTGACTTGGACCTGGTTGAGGCTCAGCAGGCATGAGTTTTACTAAAAACCTGTGCACTGAAGTTTGTTTTTGCGTCAAAACACGACGTATACCAAATTCGACGTATTCCAAAGCGGTCGTATACCGAGGTATGAATGTATAGTCAGCAGATACTGCTATAGAGTCTGCAGATACTACCATAGAGTCAGTAGTTACTGTTGTAGAGTTAGTAGTTACTACTATAGTTAGTGGATACTACTATAGAGTCGATAGATACTACTATAGAGTCAATAGATACTAATATAGATTCAGTAGGTACTACTATAGTCATTAGATACTACTGCAGTCAGTAGTTACTACTATAGAATCAGTAGATACTACTATGGTCGGTAGATACTACCGTAGAGTTGGTAGATAATACTATAGAGTCAGTTAATACTACAGTCAGTAGATTCCACTATAGCCAGTATATGCTGCTGCAGGGTCAGTAGATACGACTATAGAGTTAGTAGTTACTACCATAGTCAGCAGATACTATTGGAGAGTTATACTCTTTGGTTCTTTCGGCAAAGTCACGTAGTAAAAAAAATATATCACGACGTTTCGATCGCAACACAAGTGGTCAGGCGGAAAAAATAATCCAGCAGTGGAACTGCTGAACCAGGAAGTACACAGCAAGAGAGCTGTGACGACAAGAGGTTATATATGTTGGCGAAGGGCAAGCAGGCGGGGTCTGAGCTGGAAAGGAATTCCATCCCCGCACGCAAGCACGTCAGTTGTGTTAATGGGGGAGAGAGAGTTTAGGGAGAGAGATTAGCATGAAATGAGCTTCCATCGCCGCATAAGAGTATCGTCCCCGCATATGCGCACAACAGTAGTGTTAATGGGAGATTAGCACTATGTTGATGGGAGAGATTAGGGACATTAGCGAGTTAATGTCACGTCTATGTGTAACACAAGCTGCGGTGTTACCAACTGCGCTGTGAGAGGCAAGCACGTCAACGCAAGAGAACCACCGCAACGGTGGTCGCGCCAGTGAGACACAGCCCATCACACAGCCAGAACCATTGATACATCGAAGCTAAGGGAACAGAGGTGGCCATGTTAGTGAGACCCCAGCTCGTTAATGTAGAGACACCCAACAGGGCAATGCAACTCAGAGTTGGAGATAACAGCCAAACGGCAGGAAGGATGGAAGCACCACAGCAAGTTACGATTTTGCTTGGTTAATAACGTCCTTCCAACGATTGCTCAGCTTATACCCATCTTCTCGGTTGAAATTGTCTCTGTTTATATATCTGGATGGCTTCAGGGAAAATCTTTGATGGTAACTCGAAGGTTTGCAGAGTACCTTGGCCTCGGAAAAAACAATATCGTGCGAGCCCACTGCGTTATAACAATGATCAGCCACAGCAGAGGTATTGGTTCTGCCGTGTTTCGAATCTGCCTTGTGTTCGCGAACACGGTCCGAGACGTCGTTTCCCCAATGTAACTGCTGCCGCAGACACAACTTAGTTTGTATACATCAGGGTATTTCATTTCAGGAATGACATCCTCACAGATGGGATCAAATCACGGATTTTATGTACTGTATTGAATCGGACCTGGATCTTGTGTTTAAGATTTTGGAAATCTTTTTGGTAACACCTGCTATGTATGGCAAAGTGATGGTTTTGATTGGGTTCTCAGATGGTTGTCTCCCCATGGTTGGGGATACAGCTTTGCAGATTGTGCGATCTGAGTATCCATTAATCTTGAGGGCTTGGTGTACGTGCTCCAGTTAACTGGCTAGGTGGCACTGGTCGGAGATGCAGCGGGCCCTATGGTGTAGTGTTTTGATGAAGGAGCTCTTCTGGGCCGGATGGTGGTGGGAATCAGGCTTTAGATAGGAATCCGTGTGGATGGCTTTCCTGTAGAGGAAATGTCCCAACGAGCCATCAGGCCTCTTCTTGATCAAAACATCCAGGAATGGTAACTTGTCATCATTTTCCACTTCCATGGTGAATTTTTATGGCTGGGTGTATGGAATTGATGTGGTTGAAAAATTGGTTCAGTGCTGGCTGGCCATATGGCCAGATGACGAAAGTGTCATCTACGTATCCCTTCCACAGGGAAAGATGTAAGGTGGATGTAAGGATGGCATGATTCACAGGCAAGATGGCGCCGATGATGGCAGCCTCGGCCGGTTGGTGCGCCCTGTTTTGTCCAGTTTTGTCTTGTTTTGTCTTGAGAGGGGCTTGCTGTTCAACACACTCGTGCTGGTGAGAGAGGCCTGCTGTTCATCACACCCGTGCTGGTGAGAGAGGCCTGCTGTTTTGGGGCCTGCTGTTCAACACACTCGTGCTGGTGAGAGAGGCCTGCTGTTCATCACACCCGTGCTGGTGAGAGAGGCCTGCTGTTTTGGGGCCTGCTGTTCATCACACCCGTGCTGGTGAGAGAGGCCTGCTGTTCAGTACACCCGTGTTGAGGGGCCTGCTGTTCAGCACACCCTTGCTGGTGAGAGAGGCCTGCTGTTCAACAAACCCGTGCTGGTGAGAGGGGCCTGCTTTTCAGCACACCCGTGCTGGTGAGAGGGGCCTGCTGTTCAGCACACCCGTGCTGGTGAGAGAGGCCGGCTGTTCAGCTCACACGTGTTGAGGGGCCTGCTGTTCAGCACACCCGTGCTGGTGAGAGGGGCCTGCTGTTCATCACATCCGTGTTGGTGAGAGGGGCCTGCTGTTCAGCACACCGGTGCTGGTGAGAGAGGCCTGCTGTTCAGCACACCCGTGTTGAGGGGCCTGCTGTTCAGCACACCCGTGCTGGTGAGAGGGGCCTGCTGTTGAGGGGCCTACTGTTCAGCACACCCGTGTTGGTGAGAGAGGCCTGCTGTTCAGCACACCCGTGTTGAGGGGCCTACTGTTCAGCACACCCGTGCTGGTGAGAGGGGCCTGCTGTTCAACACACCCGTGC